GCTTCTGAAACGTGTGACATTCCCACCCTAAGTGAGCGTGCACAGCGTGCAACACAAGAGCACAATTAAAGAAACGGAGGCGTCTCTCGGTTTAACCTCCGACGTGAGATTTAAAAAAAACATCGGTCTCTTACGCGCCCCGCTGCGACAGAATAACAAGCGGAAGGTGCCAGCGCGTCGTACGCACGCACGCACGCACAGACAAAGCAGCGTCAAGATTGTTTTGCGCGCAATCAGTCACAGTACGAGACTCGCAATAACTGCTGCTGCTGATGTGCTGAAGGGAACGTCCGCATTATGCCCGCGTCATACAAACGCCACCGAGTGCTGAAGTTGTAACTAAATCGGCAGGTTTTGTTCATGTGACGATCCCCGACCAATTGGCTGTGTCGGGTGGCGGTGGGTTAACGTCTTAACGACACATAAAAAAAATATATGCTATTATGAGTCAAGCAGTGAGTTGCAGCCGCGTCTCGAGTTGTACTCAAAGGTGGAGGCGTCGGAATGTAAACGGATTTCAAATCACTGTTTGTTGTTGTGTGTGAGTGTGTGGTTGTTGTGTGTGTGTGAGTGTGCGTTGTTGTGTGTGTTGTTGGTTGTGTGTGAGTGTGTGTGTTGTTGTGTGTGTGAGTGTGTGTTGTTGTTTTTTTGTCCGGCAAAACAACCCCCTACCTCCTCGCGGTGCCGAGCGGGCAACTCTGTCGTGGACAGTGCTGTGGGGAGAGGGCCAAATCCGATTGGCTCCTCCCCTCATGGCGTCTGTGACCACCACAGGGGCTAAACGGGGGCTCTGGACGGGTGCGAGGGGCTGGTAACCCCTCCACCTTCAAAAATTTACCACTAAACCACGACTGAAATATGTAACTAATAAGCTTGTGCCGGAGGCCCTGGGGGGACAGGCGTCTATGACGTCTCCTGGCCAAACCCCAATTGGCGGAGCCAGGAGATTGAATCTCTACCCTCGGGGCTCCTCCAGAAACAACGAAAAGCCACTTCGTGTGGCCACGTGGAATGTTTGAACGCTCACTGCGGAGGAGAGGCTGCCACTCCTCTGTCGGGAGCTGGACCGGTACCACCTGGATCTCTGTGGCATTCAGGAGGTCCGATGGACCGGTTCTGCCTCCTGCCACCATGAGGGGTGGACAGTCCTCTACTCGGGGCAGCAGACTGCTAAACAACAGGGTGTGGCTCTTCTTTTGAACAAAAGAATGAAGGGGGCGTGGGAGCGTGGCGGTGAGGTGTGGGAAGCTATAAGCCCCAGGCTACTTTGAGCTCGCCTTCCCATCAACCGGAGGCGAGGAGTGGTGGTCGTGGTTACTTATGCCCCCACCGAAGACGAACATCCGTGGAGGGATGCAGGCAAAGCCGATGAGTCAGATGCCTTCTATAACCTCCTGTCACAGGTGCTGTCTAAAGTGGCCCCTGGGGATAGAGTCATCTTGTTGGGTGACTTCAATGCCCGAGTTGGTCATGATGCTGGCACCTGGTCTGGAGTGATTGGAGGGCATGGACCAGATCAGCTCAATAACAACGGTAGGAGGCTGCTAGATTTTTGTGCAGCCCATGGGCTTGTAATTACCAACATGCTGTTCCGGCATTGGCGCATCCACACATCATGGATGCATGCCGGGTCCAAGGAAGAACATCTGCTGGACTACATAGTGATGGACCAACGGATACGAGCCCATGTTCTTGACACCAGGACCTACCATGCAGCTGATCTGCCCTCTGACCATCGACTAGTCATCTGTAAGATGCGCCTGCCATTCTTCCACTCCGGTGGTGGGTGTACACCCAGGACCCCATTCCAACCTAAAGTGGCCTGGTTTCAGTTCTCTGATGAAAGTTGCAAGCGAGCATTTCATCATTGCTTGCGGCTGGGGTTGGCATCGTCCCCCACTCCTCCTGATGTCGAGGGTAAATGGGCGAGGTTTTGGACTGTGACTCATGCAGCTGCAATGGCTGCTTTGGGTACGCGGTCCAGACTTCCCCAGAGACCCTGGCTGACAGAGGAGGTGTTCAGGATGGTTGAGAAAAAGCGACAGGCCCACTGTCATCGGCTACAGAATCCCACGTCAGAGAATGAGGAGGCTTACCACAGCCTTCGCTCGGAGGTTCGGAAAGCCGTGAGGTGCTGCAAGGATGGGTGATGGTCGCGGGTTGCTGAGGCGATGGAGTCTGCCTCAGTGGCCCGCGATCACAAATCTCTATTTAACTCCATCAAAAAGTAACCTGCAGCACCACACCTATTACCATCATTAGGGGAAAAAACGGTGATCCAATCTCCGACCCCCAGGAACAAGTTTGCAGATTTGCTGAGCATTTCTGTGATGACCCTGCTGAGGTTGCAGTGCCTCAAATATTGGAAGAAGTCACTCCCTGTGAGTGGCTGGCTGAGGTGCCATCTGTCGAGGAAGTACTGAAGGCGATCCGGAGTCTGAGACCAGGAAAGGCACCGGGTAGAGATGATCTCCCAAGCGAAATACTGAGGGAGGGTGGCATATGTGCACAGACTGCCCTATATGACATCATAACAACAGTCTGGACCAATGGACGGGTTCCGCAGGATTGGAAGGATGCCCTGGTGGTCCCCCTCTTTAAGAAGTTGGATCGCACAGACTGTAACAACTACAGGGGCATCTCACTCCTCAGTGTGCCGGGAAAGGTCCTGGCAAGGATTATTCAACATCGCCTTGCCAGGCACGCTGAGGAGAGGCTTGCGGAGCCCCAATGCGTTTTCAGGAAAGGGCGGTCCTGCATAGATGCCATGTTTTCTGTCCGTCTGCTACAGCAGAGGTGTAGGGAATTCCAACAAGACCTACATCTCTGCTTTATTGACCTGGTCAAGGCTTATGATACCATCAGTAGGCCTGGGCTCTGGGTTGTTCTTCGTGCTTTTGGAGTCCCTGACCCTCTGCTCACGATCATTAAGGACCTTCATGATGGTGAGCGGGCCCGGGTAAAACTACGTGGCTGGGAATCAGAGCCATTCCCTGTACACCTTAGGGTGCGACAGGGATGTCCTCTGGCTCCCACATTATTTAACATCTATTTTGACCACCTAGTTCGTGAAGCCTTTAATAGCTGTACTGGGGAAATCTCCATTTGGTACAGATATAATGGGAGGCTGATCATTGCCCGGGTGTGGTCAAGGGATGGCTCCCTATTGCTCAACCACGTTATGTATGCCGATGATTTGGTAATAGCTGCTCATTCAGAGGAGGAGTTGGAGACGCTGCTGCTGAGACTGGAGCGTACCACTAAGAGATGGGGTCTTACCATCAGCCCCACCAAAACTAAGCACCTGCCTCGGTATTTTGTACCATCGGACACTCCACCGCCACAACTCCCAATCGGTGATGGGGCAGTTGTGGAGAGAGTGGAGAGTTTCCCATACCTGGGCAGTGTGCTTATGACCGGCTCCAGTTTAACAGCAGAGGTCTCGCTCCGAATCAGTCGAGCGGCAATATCTTTTCATCAGTTGCGTAACGCTGTATGGAAGCTACCTGGTCTGCCGCTCCGCACGAAGCTTCAGGTCTTCTCGGTCACAGTCATTCCCTCCCTTCTCTATGCTTGCGAAACGTGGACTCCCTTAATGGAACATCTTTGCCAGTTAGAAACATTTAGGCTAGCCTGCCTACGATCCATCCTGGGTTAAACCAGGCTGGATTGTGTGAGGAGCTCACATTTCCTTGAAAGATCTGGGCAAGGTCCCATCGGTGAGCTCCTCCGGCAGGCAAGGCTGCGTTGGCTGGGTCATGTAGCCAGCATGCCCAGCCACCGCATGCCGAAACAGCTTTTGTTTGGCCGGATCGAGGGGTTAAACGGGCGCGGCACGGGCTAGAGAAGAGATGGAGTGATGTGGCACAGGAGGACGTGGAGCTGAGTGGACTTGCCGATGACTGGTACCAGCGGTGTCAAGATCGACCTCTGTGGAGGAGGCTCGTGAAGGACGCTACTGGGCAGTTGGAGGCAGTCGCCCTCCAACAACAACGGAGGGCGGAGGAGCGACGCTCACAACAACGAGCGGAGCGCCGGGTGGCTAAAGCACAGCAGGTTGGCACAGTTGGGGACACAGGTGGTGCATCAGCCAGTCATCTCAGTCATTTAAGTCAGTCGACCCGTGGCACCTGTGTCTGCCCCGTGACCTCCTGCCAGCGGGCGTTCAACACTTCACGTGGCCTCAAGGTGCACATGGCCAGGCACAAGAGTCGTGGTGACGTCACCGCCACTTAGTGGCGAATGGCGGTTGTTGTTGTGTGTGTGTGTTGTTGTGTGTGTGTTGTTGTGTGAGTGTGTGTCTTTATGTGTGTGTCGCGCAGGAGCACCTCTGGCCTGGGTGATGGGCAGTTAGTGGTGATGCTAAGAGCGGGTCTCGCTGATCTCTTCCTGCAAATTGTAATCACGCCTCATGGCCGCTCATCTCTGCGCGTGGAGGGGTAGGGGGGGGGGTAGCGATCGTAGTTGGGGTGCGGGGACTGCCGCTGCCATCTGTCGCTCTCGTTCCCTCTCTCTCGACGCGACGATCGCTCTCGTTCCCTCTCGACTGCGATGATTGCTCTCGTTCCCCCTTTCTCTCGACAACGATGATCGCTCTCGTTCCCTCTCTCTCGCTCCACGTGGCGCGAGTCCAATCGCATTATCCCTTCGGCTAGAGAGACCTGGGAAGCAAAGTTTTTCGTTTAATGAGGAATTAAAGTGGCCCACCGAAATAGTACTGGTCAACTATTGTGAACAATGTCACAATTATGAATGTAATTGCTTTTCAGATTTCATCATCTTAAAATGTAAATTGAAATGTTGTATATTATTACTGTCGGGTTGATTAATTTATAATCATTTAGAATGGTTTGCATTCAAGCAGCATGTTGCTGTGCCATTAGATGTATTATTGTATTAGTTTTCACCCAGACCTGCTTTGAAAGGGAAACATCTGGTCTTGACTCGCTCTCACCTTGTTTAAATATAGGCCACGAATCAATCAATCAAAGAGTCTTCTCCGCGCTCACAACAGCAGATTGCACAGCTGTTTAATGTTTATTAATTGTATGCATGTGCACGCGTGCTGAACTTCTTTCGCGCCATACGTAGCCAACCGTGAAAATCGTCGAGTGATCCATGATGGCGGTGAAGGGATTTGAACTGCGTGGTCCGTGCGCTCAGCGGCTCAGCGGCTATCGCACTGCTCGCTGGGATCGCGGTGTGTGCAAGCGTCGTTTGGGCGGGGGGCTTGCAGACAGAGATTGTGGATTCAAAGGCCGCAGAGTTTGTACAAAAAAAAAGGGAGGGGGGGGAGGTAGGGATGAGGAGTTGTTTTAAAATTCAACACAATCACGATTCTCTTGCGGATTTAATATTTACAGAAAGTATTACACCCTCCTAAAGCTTGCGCCACGTGCAGGGTGGCACGGCCGGGCGTGCCGTGCCCTTGTGAGGAGGTGGCTGCACGTGTCGGCTCGCACGAATGCGCGCGTGCGTGTGTATGGTGGAGGTGGTGACGTCGGTCTGGGCAGTGGTGATTGCGATGATGATGATGGTGGTAGTGGTGGTAGTAATCAGAATGACGGCAGTGGGCTCGTTGAAGATCGTAGTTATGGTGGTGGTGCTGGTGATGTTGGTGATGGTGGCGGCGTGGGTTGATGATCGTGATGATGATGATGATGGTGGCGGCGGTCAGTGGTTATGATGGTGGTGGTTGTGATGATGACGGACGGCGCTAGGGGTGGTGATCGCCGTCTCTGTCATCTCAGGAGCTGGTCCACGTGAGCCGGAACCCTGCCGGCACGGAGGAGCCCTCCGCCTGGAAGCGGACGAAGAGCTGGTAGCCAGACGAAGTGAAGTCCGCGATGTTGTCGTTCTGTCGGGACGCCAACGACGACACGCACCGGTCAAAACACGGCGGCCAACGAGGGCGATGGTCGCGTTTACACAGCTCCAAACGAAAATACGAGGGCTGTTGTGATGACACGAGGTCTCTCTCGCTCTCTCGCTCTCTCTCTGCAGGACTCTTTTGAGAGTTACTTTGGAAAGCAAGGCGATGACATGTGTGAATGCGTGTACGTATTATTTTTATTTTTAAACCAACCATGAGACGCTAGGTGCCGGCACTGGCATCAATGTGCAGGTTTGCACCGCGCGGCGTTTTAATTCAAAAAAGAGTAATCCCAAGCTCGTAAGTTTTACATGCAAAAATAATGGCCATTACCTGATTGATACTAATTTAGCAATTTATATCCCTATGATGGGTATTTTTTGTCTAATTAACTGAGCAAAGATTGAAAAAAAAACAGTCATGTAACAACTGTTCTTTTTTCACATCCCTTATTAAAAATACATTATTTGTTTTATTTCTATCAGCTATCACCTGCTTAACTAAACGGCAGCGAGAGAGTGCTTAAATACGTAGATGAATGAGTGAGCGATTGAGCATTTGACCAGCTGATGAATTAGCTCGCTGATTCATTTACTAGTTTCTGGATAGCCGGTTGGTATTCTGACTTGTCTGGTTCACTGATGAGTCACAGTGATTGGCTGACTTGCAGGTGGGATTGGCTTCTTGGTTAGATGATTGACTCCCTGACATTTTTTTTGTCTGGATGGCTGGCTGACCTGTGTGACTGGATAACTGATGCACTGGGCAGTTGGCTAGGTGGCCATTAGTTTGACTCACTGGCTGGGCAACTGGCTGGTTAGTCGGTTGAATAGCTGGCTGGCCAATTAGTTCATTGGTTGACTGGCTGGCTGTCTGACTCATTGGTTGCCTAACTGGTTCGCTGGTTGGTTGATTGTATTGATGTTGTACTTGTTTTGCACCGTATGTAGCCAAACGTGCTATTCAGTGACCATCCCGTCTGACCGGTTAGTCAGTTGACTAGCTGGCTGCCCAATTAACTAATCCAGGGGTCACCAAACTACGGCCCGCGGGCCGAATCCGGCCCGCGACGTCAGTCCATCAGGCCCGCCGACGGTACTTGAATTTGCTTGATAAAACGTATGGAACACGAGACGTTGTGATACAATTTAAATTTAAATATGTTTAGAATACTAGGAGATCTTCACGCGTGCAGAGACCTACTGACTGCTATGTTCCTTAAATTTACTATTTTAAATTTTAAATTATTGTATCTAGATTTTCTTGTTTATTGTAACGTTTGCTTATTTCGCGCCATCCCAAGTACTTCCCCGGCTCGTGGTAGCTCCGCCTACGCTCTGACGTTATCATGGTTTCCATGGCAACACACACGAACACGCATCTTTCCCGCCCCCAGATTTTCCAGCTGTCAACACTGGTCCGACGCTCCAGTGATATTTAATTATGATGCGGCCCGCGATCGTCATTCTTTCAGTTATCCGGCCCCCTGTGAAAAAAGTTTGGTGACCCCTGAACTAATCGGTTGACCGACTGGCTGACACAGTTGACTGGCTGGCTGGATGACCTAACCATCTTTGACTTGGCTAACTGGCGCGGTTTCGGCTGACTTGACCCATCCGGTCGAACCACTCGGCTAGTTTCGTCGGTGTGAACCCGTGGAAAGCGAGAGCTCACCTGGCCGCAGAAGGTGCCCACGGGAGGCGAGCTCATGCTGGGCCCGTCGTGCACCATCAGGTAGTTGCGCTCGCAGTCGCCTGGGTCGTCGACGTGGAACACGGGGAAGCGGAGCGTGGCGCGCCGGTGCACGGCCACCTCCAGGAGCCACTCGCACGTCGAGTTGTTCGGGTAGGTGCCCGGGAAGTCGGGGCTCGTGAACGATCCGTGGTCTCCGTGCAGGATGCCCCCGCAGCCTGCGCGTCAACGGGGCACCTCCGATTAGCACGGTCGGCCACGTGCGGTTGCGAAAGGAGTTCAACGCACGCACATGCGATGGGTTTGACCGTTTGCCGCGACAAAAACACGGCGTCTTTTACGGAGCGTCCGAGAGTCACGGCATCGCAGGACGTTGCGTGCGTGGCGTGAGGCAGGCGTGGCGCGCGCGTGCGTGCGTGCGATATTCTAAAACTATGAAACGATAAACTATTTTTTTATTTTACCAGGTAAGGCCCACTGAGCTTTGTAGCTCTTTTTCAGAAGCGACCTGGCTATCAACAAGTGGCATCTCAGCGGAGTGGCTTATCGTCACGTGGAAATTTTTAGCAGGCAAATACTCTCGTTTTTAGAGAGGAGGCAGTCTGCCATAGGAGCCCAGGGGGCGAGGAAGGCCTTGGTGTATGGACTGGAAGAGGGGGCAGGAGGTCGACAGCACGTACGGCTGGAGGGGATGGAGTCTGAGTCACAGAAGAGCAGCACAATCTGCACGGAGCGCCGGTCGCTGTGGCGAGCTTCAGCGTCATGCGTGGGTGAGTTGTGGTGGTGATAAAGTGTATCATGGGGGTGTCGCAAGATACCACCCACCTGGGGGATACGATGAATTGTCGCATACCAGTGGGGTTACGATTCAAATCAAGAATCAATTGTTTTACGTTGCACGGAATGGTAGTGTCCACAATGGCTACAGTGGTGACATGAACCCGTTATCAAAATATATATTTTATTCTCATTCCACGTGACTTTATTCTCATTCTACGTGACTTTACCGAAAGAACCAAAGAAGATGAATCCTTGCAGTCACGAAAGCTTTAAATCGAAATATATATTTTTATACATGTAATATGATATCATGAGTTTGAGAATCAATATTTATTGACCGATACATCCGTTTTTACTCTAGTATGAAATAATAAATACGTTATTGGGACATTCGGCCAATGCAATCAATCAGCATTTGGCTCCCATGTGAGAGGAAACCAGATGTAAGCAGATACCACAGACAGACTCGATCCAGCGAGCCGACCAAATCTATGTTATGGACCTCCCCCATTGCAGTAATACAATAATAATAGTAATTAATAATTAATTATATGAATTAGTAATATTATTTACTTATCCAGGTGAGCCATGCTGAGGCCTAGGAGAGTCCTGCGTTGGGTTTTTATTTTAAGAACCCCCCCCCATCTCACCCCGTGGCACCTAGCAGCTGTCACGGCATTCGACCTACAGCACACGTACGCATTGAACATCTTTCGCACCGTACGCATGCTAACCGCGTTTATCGCGTAGCGGCACCTGTTACACGATATAGCGGTCACCCATTCCAAGCACCGAGCAGGCCTCGCCTTGCTCAGCTTTTCGAGATCGTCCGCGTTCAGAGCGAGCGACACTCGCGCGTCTGGACTCGCCCACGTGACACGTTCACCTGCGGGCGATGACGTCCAGGTGATCTCGTAGCCGTTGAGCGCCTGCGAAAAGTCGCTGACGAAGCGCAGGAAGAGCACGTCGGCACGCGGGAACACGGGGTCGGGCAGCCCTGCGCCGCACAGCTTCGCCAGCGAGGGTGCTGTCACGTCGCTGCCGTTGTGAACCTACGCCGGCCCGGTAGCACGACGGGTTTTTTCAAAATGTAACAACAATAATAATGGGGGGGGGGGGGGGAAGAAAAGGTAATGGATTTGGATTTGCATGGATTCTGTACCGATCGCGTCGCGACGACGTGGGGTTTGTCCCTCGGAAGTGTTTTGTTAGCAAGAATAACTTTACCTTCCGACGAGATGAGAGGTCACGAGTAACAACGTCGTGGTGAGCGGGTGTGAGCACGTGACGTGTAATGTCGGGCAAGGTGAATCCTTTTAGCGCTGTTATTTTTTGGGGGGTTTTAAGAAGTGCCTTTGGTCAGTTTGCCCGGCATTCCATTGAGGAATGCGCCTGGCTTTCCATTGGGGACCGAGTCGGTTAATAGCAACGCAACTTTATCCTCAAATGTAATTTAAATTGGATCATCTTCACGAGAGTTACAGACAGATGGACACACAGACATCAAATCTCGCGGCATTGCCGTGTTCAATTAACATTTTTTTAAACATCTAAACACTTAAGGTACCAATCCTTTTTTTAGCCCACCTCCCCCGCCCCCAAAATAAAAAAAAAATAATAATCAACACGTATCGTCAATAACGGCGCGGATCTTAAAAGAGAAACAACCAACCAAAATGAACGTACAACGGCAGCGCGCCACATTTGGGGGGGGGGGGGGGTGGGGGGGGGGGGTCTGCTGGCAGCATCGGGGGGCGCCGTCACCTCGAGGAAGTCGAACTCGCAGTTGGGGTGCGCCTCGAGCGTGAACGCGCTGAAGAAGAGCGAGATGAGGCTGCCCGCCGGCGCGCGCAGCACCGTCGTGCAGTCCATGTTGTGGGGGTAGACGGCCGGCCAGCCGGGGCTCGCCAAGTACCCGTACGACGCGTTGTACTCGCGGCTGCAGCCTGGCGGGCGCGCCACGTGCGGGGTCACGCGGCACGGGGCCGGAGGGACCAGGTAAAGGGGTAAAGGGGGTAAAGGGGTACGGAGTACGGAGCACGGGTTAGGGGCCGTCCATAAATGACGTCACGCGATTTTTGACGATTTTTTACCCACCCCCCCCCCTCGTCACACGGCGTCACAAAAAGTCAGACCCCCCCCCCCTCAAATATGACGTCACAAAGCTCTGCCCCCCCCCAAAAAAAATGAAACATGCTTCAAATAGCTTTAAACTATTGTCATTGTAGTGCGTATTTAATGTGGCGCTGCACTCTGATGTTGTAGGAGAAAACATTAAAAAGTCTATTTAATTAAGAAGAACGTGTTGTCTTTATTTACTTAAAGTTGCGCATTTTGATGTGACGTCACATTTCTCAAACCCCTCCCCCCCCTCGTCACACATCGTCACAAATGTCTGACCCCCCCTCCCCTCCTAGGTGCGTGACGTCATTTATGGACGGCCCCTTATGCGGTATGGGGTGAAGGGTATGCGGTATGGGGTGGGAGGAACCAGGTACTACGGGGTACGGAGTATGGGGCACGGGTTATGGGTTACACGGTATGGGCTACGTGGTATAGGGTTAGGGCCACTGGGAAAGAGGTACAACACACACATGTGTGAGTTGCAAACTATATATTTTAGCGTCTTTACCTCGGTCAGATTTAGACTCTGTGCAAGACTACCACTGATGACGATTCTACGATAAGGGGAGCGATCGGGGTGCGTCAGAGTACCTGCAGTCTGGAATGAGAGGCTGAAGCCATTGCCCGGCTCGTAGGTGTCGACTTTAAAGTCCAGGTGCACCGTGCGCCCGATGGAGTAGAAGTCAGGGATCCGCATGTCGGTGCCGCAGTAACGGCGGACCTGTCCATAGTCTCCCTGCATGGGGCACAGATGGGCACGGGGTACAGGGCGTGGGAGACACGTGGCATGGTTACACTTTGCTGAACCGCCCACACTGGACATCTGTGGAAAAGAGCTTCACAGCTCATCGGATTCCTCCTGCTCCAGTCTAAATCAGCATTCTGATTCTGACACGAAGCCGCTCCCGCGCCCCGTCACGCTCGCTCGCTCGCTCACCATGGGCTGGTCGCGGATCTCGAAGTAGTCGTTGGAGCAGGTCTGGTGCGCCGGCAGGCTGAACGCCGTCACGGTGACGCGCACGCTCTCCTGCGCCGGAGCGTCCAGCGTCCAGCGGCACCGCGACTCCGTGGGGTACGCGTCGGGGAAGCCGGGCGACGTCACGGTCTGCGCCTGCGCCGTCGCGTTCATCACGCCGCCGCACACGCCTGAGAGTTTGAGCCGGTGGCAGGGGGGGTGGTGGTGGTGAACGAGGGTGGGGCGGGGGGGGGCAGAGAGACTGCGGGTGAGATCTCTTTCTTTCGCGCGGCCGATGAAGACGCAGAGCAACAACTACAATTTCACACCGAGGTGGCCAAGCAAGACAACGGCGGAGGGTATCGTCACCGTGATGCCTCCGTCGTATTTTTGGCTCGGGCATTGCGTCGCTATACGTCGGACGGTCTGTTCTGGATCACCACGGTCGCACGCTACTGAAGAGTTTTTACTTTTCCATTTGTGCATCGGCTATCCGCATCTGCCACGGTTTGTGCGGCTGATGCGGTTTTGGGTGGACCGTGAGCTAAACCGCATCCGCACAAGCCATGGCAGATGCGGATACCTCATGCGCGTGAGATTGAGACTGCGTAATCGCGTGCGTGCGCGTTTGTTGTGCGTGTGGCGTGCGTGTGGCGTGCACGCGTGTGGCGTGTGGCGTGCGTGTGTGTTTGTTGTAAGTGCGTGTGGCGTGTGGTGTGCGTGCGTGCGCGATGCCGCTGGGGGCTCACTGGCGCTCGTCTGGTAGGTGGCGTGGAAGCCGGCGCGCTGCACCGAGCTGTCGGTGCGGAAGTGGATGTGCAGGAAGTTGCTGAAGGAGGTGATGGGCAGCGGCACGATTGAACCGCAGTACCGGCCGACCATGGGGGACAGCGCGCTCTCTCCGTCGAACACCTGGTGGGGGGTAGTGGGGTGGTGGGGGGGAGGACGGAGCGGTCTGGGTGTCTCTCGCACGCCGCGCCTGTCTCGTCTGCATGTGTTGATCCGTGTTTGTGGTCGTTGGTCTGTCCACCGGTGTTTGTCTCCCTTCGACGTGCATACTCACTGCTACAGGCCACAAACACCTCCCCGTCCACCGTTGTCGCTAACTCTGCCTTATGAAACATTCAGTTGGCACACACACAAAGATAGGCCGAGGCTTTGGGAGATTACCCTTCTCCCTTTTTCACAGCACCTGATGCAGAGAGCAATAATCCGGTAGCAAGTCCATCCTATGGACGGGGCGAATCTATTTCTAATAATAAATCATCGAAAACACCGCGTTGCATGGGTAACCTGATGCCTGGTTAGGCTTTGATCTCCACCACCAATTGCGGCCAGACTTTTGTTGGCCAAAGGCCAAAGATAAAAGGGTCATGCACAGCTCATGATCAGTGCCATGGGTCCCTGGCTGCTATGGTAGCAAATAATGAAACTTCACGCGCCACGTGACAGTCCTGTGGAGCCGGCCGTACACACGTACGTCCTTGTTGCTTTGAAACGTTTGCGTTTTTTGACAAGCAGGTAGTTGCCGGTCACATGACCATCTCGTGCGCTGTGGGCAGGCGCTCGCTATCCAGCACTCTCCTCGGTCCGTACGGCTACTAACGAAGCCTCTTTTGCCTCTGCCGTGTTCACCAGCGGTGCTCGTGCCCCGATCCTCTGCCCGCTCGTGCGTGCGTGTTTGTGCGTGGGTCGTGACGTACGGAGACGTAGTCGTAGTGGCAGGTGTCCTGGATAGCCGACTCGAGCTCGAAGGCGCTGAAGGTGAGCGTGATGAGATTGTTCGGCTCCACGGACACGGTCCAGCGGCAGTCCAGGTCATTCTCATACTGCCCGTCGCCGTTAATGTCCGGTGAGCTGAGCTCTCCTGTGTCGCCCGTGAGCATCCCTCCGCAGCCCTGCGCCGGGCCTGCGCATTGCGGGACGGGGGTGTGAAGCATATTGCAGTGTGTAGCGTGTGCGAGTGTGCATGCGGGTGTTGCACGGTGTGGCGTTGTGCATTGAGATGTGTGTTCAATATGTCGAAATGTGTTTTTGCGGGAACGCAAGATCGTGCGAGGCAACACATCGGTCGGTTCGCAACGGCAAATAATGATGGAAGAATGATTTTGAAACAGGTGTGTGTGTGTGAGCGCGCGTGCCTGCGTGCGTGTGTGTGTGAATGCGCGTGCCTGCGTGTGTGTGTGAATGCGCGTGCCTGCGTGTGTGTGTGTGAACGCGCGTGCGTGTGTGTGTGAACGCGCGTGCGTGTGTGTGTGTGTGAGCGCGCGTGCGTGTGTGTGCGTGTGTGTGAACGCGCGTGCCTGCGTGTGTGTGTGTGTGAACGCGCGTGCCTGCGTGTGTGTGTGTGAACGCGCGTGCACGTGTGTGTGTGAACGCGCGTGCACGTGTGTGTGTGTGTGAACGCGCGTGCGCGTGTGTGTGTGTGAACGCGCGTGCGCCTGCGTGTGTGTGTGTGTGTGAACGCGCGTGCGCATGTGTGTGTGTGAACGCGCGTGCCTGCGTGTGTGTGTGTGTGTGAACGTGTGTGTGTGTGTGTGAACGTGCGTGTGTGTGAACGTGCGTGTGTGTGTGTGTGAACGCGCGTGTGTGTGTGTGTGTGAATGCCTGTGTGTGTGTGTGTGAACGCGCGTGCGCGTGTGCGCCCACCGAGCGTGGTGCGGTACGCCGCCTGCCAGCCGCCGGCGGTGACGGAGGCGTCCGTCACGAAGAGCAGGAACATGTCCCGGGCGGAGCTGTGCAGCTGCAGGGGAACCTCGGTGCCGCAGAAGGTGCCGAGCAGTGGCGCGGAGGTGTCGGCGCCGTCGTACACGGCCACGTAGTCGTAGCGGCACTGCGAGTGCGCCTCCAGGTGCATGTAGTTGAACCTACGTGTTGCAGAGATGGGCAGCGATTAGAATGAGCGGCCGATTTTTGCGCGTACGGATGTTGAACTTCTTTCCCGCCGTGCGTAGCCAACCGCGCCAGTTGGAGGGCGACAACAGCGGAGGTGGCACGCGGCTACGAGTCGCCGCCGCCACCATCGTTTGCCGCGTTGGCGGTCGCGGTCGTGCCGCGTAGCTCTCCGGCGCTCGTTCGTGTTGTGCCGCATGACGCCCCAACAACACGCAAACACATCGCGGAGCCATCGCCAATACCAAGCAGACGTTCACCCTCCAACGCCTGTGACTCGATGAATTGTCACAATTCGTGCCCCCCCCCCCCCACGTAGATCCGCCGCCTATAATGCTGGTTATGCATCACGTTGGTCGCCAATGCAGGCACTATCCAGGCTGATATCTGCTTCGCTTCTGAGCTCTGACAATCGGGTGCATTCCTGATTATTGGAATGTAAAATGTCTCACGTGTCATCTTCTGGGCTAGACAGCATCTTCAGGACCTGAAGATGCTCGTGGTAGCGTGCGGCGAATGCTTGATACGGACAAAGCTCACGACGTGGTCCTACACTTGGATTACAAATTATTCGATGCTGTTGCTTCTGCTGCAGTTTTGGCAGTGGTGCATCTGTACAAGTAACAAAACACGCGCGGTCCACTCATTGACGAATGTGTTGAGTTCGTTTTACACATACACAGTCATACCTCGATGTGCGTATATTCAATAAACAAAGTTTTGGTCGAACAAACTTTGTATTTGTTACCATTATGTTTACCATTATTAAAAGTTAAATAATTATTAAGTACACTTATACGAATAAATAAATAATACATTGATCAATCTTTATTTGAAGCTTTCGAGACTGCAGGTATCCATACTCTTTGGTTCTTTCGGTAAAGTCACGTAGTTAGAAATAAAATAAAATAATAAATGGATCAATCTACGGTATTATATAAATCATAAAAAAATACGTCACTTTACTTTTTTGTTATTAATGTCAGTTTAATTTTTTTTATCCTGCACAATATAAAATATATAATATTATTTTCAATATAAATGATCGTTGTTTACAATATGAATGGTAAGTTATGACGTGTTTATAGGATGAAATGGTAAGTTACGAAGGCTGGGAAGGCATCCTTATATCACTAATATAAGTTATTCAACATACAACGTTTCAAGAAAGGTCCCATATTATAGCTGATCACTCCGAGCTATGAATGCCCTGATAGTGGCATTGTCTTTGTGCTGTTCGCCTTTTGGCGTCCTCTGGTCTAACACTGTTTGAGACTAGGCTCTAAAGAAAGCTGTCTCTGGTGTGGACCAACCAGTTTCAAAGACAATGTATGTACTCTCAGAGCATGTTTTTTTTTTGCATGTTCACCACAGGTACGTGTGGTTAATGCAGACAGGATTCCTTGAAAAAGGATTCTGTTTGGCGTGTTAACATCTTAACACAACCGTTTTATTGCCAGAAAGGGTAAAACCTATTCTCATCAAACGTTTCAATATACGAGCGGAGCTCCAGGACCGCATCCACTCCGTATCTCGAGGTGTTACTTGACTTGGAAATCTCCATTCTAAAATGTCTCGCTACTCACCGAGAGTTTCCCCCCCCCCCTCCCAACCCACGTGCCGCTCACTTGAGGTTAACGATGCGATCCTCCGCCACCTGGATGTGGTACGAGCAGTTCATGTTGTTGTGGTAGTTGACCTGCCCAAACGTCGGGCTGCTGATGAATCCCGACGGGTTCGTGAATGACCCTCCACAAGCTGGCGCCCCGGAACGCCGGCAGAGAGAGAGAGGGATGGAGCAGACGAGGGGAAGGATGGAGGGTTGCAGCATTAAATTTTTTGGTTCGTGAAATTAGCGAGCAAAATATTCGTTGATGGAGCGGATAGCAAAAAAAATCACCGAAGATTCTGAGTGGACAAAAATCGTCGATGGCAACGATGACCGTGACTCCTTCCCGGCATAAATCTACGGCCAAAGCGGTGAAATTAACTAACCTGGGTGTAGATGCAGACTAGGATAATTTTGTAACTTTATTACTGGAGACTGCGGGTTGCATCAAGGAAAGCCACACTTTGTAGTGGTTTCGTGCCGCCGTGGCTGTGCGCGCGTACGTATGGCCTGGTAGGCGGCGAGGAAGCCGTTGTCCTCGATGAAGGGGTCGGAGTGGAAGTGCAGGAACATGGGGCCGTGCGCCGACACCACGCCGGGAATGGTGAGGCCGCACAGCGTGGCGAGCAGCTGCCCGCTCTCCGACGTGCCGCCGTACACCTTCAGGAAGTCGTAGGCGCACGTCGAGTGACCTGCGCCGCCGCACGGCCCGACGAGCGGGGACGCACCGGGCGGACAGACGGACAGATTGGATGGACGGAGAGACGGAGAGACAATGGACGGACGATCAGACAGACGGTGTTGGACAGATGGATGAATAGATAGATGGACAAACGGACAGACAGACAGACAGATGGACAGACGGACGGACAGACGGGACGGTGGGGATTTGGGGAGGTACTGAGCCGGTGTATTACCGCACAACACGTCTAATGCCTGTAGCTGGGGATAGAGGCCTATACTGGATGTGGTGTACTTGGCGTGGAAATATTTTGAGCCAATCGCTGATCTGGACAGATCTAGCGGAAATTAAGTTTTGCTGCTAGCCCAGCTCTTGAGAGGCAAGGTTGGTTGAGTCGTGCGGAGATCGCGATGGAAGTGTTGTGAAGCTACCAACCTGTGGGGCTTGAAACTCAAAGTGGCATTCAGAAGGACGTAGAATGGGTGCACAGCTGATTCATCTGTGTGCATGTTTTACTATTGTCCCCTGGCATGTGGGGTTTGTTTCACAAAGATCCCAATTAAAAATGCAGTTTAGTTTACAGACTTGTTGCCGGTTTACTGCTGGACTCCCCAGGCCATGCAGGTAATTTGGGTCACATTTCCATACTTCACCATGCTGCGTTGCCCTCTGCTGCCAAACGAGTTCCTCCAAAGCAGCCTATAACCACCTGGCATGCATCGCAGTCTCTCATGCAAGCATTGTCCAGACTCAACAATGCCTAGCTTCCGACATCGGGGTGCAATCTGGGTGATGTGATTTTGAATAAACTTTGAGAGGCCTTGAATCGGCTCACTGGAAGAATTAAGCACACAACGTTTAAATGGAATAATAACGATTATGATAATAACATTTATAGGGGTGGGGGGAGGGTTCAGTGGGGGGGGGGGGGGAGGGGGGGGGTGTACGGAGGTGAGGGGGGCAGGCGGAGTCCGCGTACCTTCGACCTGGAAGGTCTGGAAAGAGAGGATGATGGTGAAGTCGTTGCCGGGGTTGATGAGGTAGTGGCAGTCGAGGTTGTCGCCGTAGTGCGCCGGGTAGCTCGGCGACAGGATCTGACCTTGGGGCTCGTCGAGGGTCACTCCGCAGCCTGGCGAGGGAGGGGTAGGGGGATGGGGCAGGGTCAGGGTTCGAGCCGTGACCACAGGCGCGAGTTGGGGACGTGTAGGCAGGCCGGCCGTGGGAGTAATAGCCATTGTGCTAAACGAAACTACTTTTATTTTACCAGGTAAGTCCCCACTGAGCTGCATTGCCCTTTTTTAGAAGCGAACTGGCCGTAAATGGTAGCCAAACGAAGTGGCTTAGCACGTGGAAATTTATAGGGGGCAATACTCCAAACGCACGTTGATTCTAAATGTGGAGGGAAAAACCAGAGGACCCGGAGGAAAATCCACGCGACCACGGGGAGAACACGCAAACTCCAAATATACAGACAGTCAGGATTGAACCTTCGACGCTCTGTACACCATGCGAGGTAGTTCACATCTCGCCACCGCGGCACTGCACTTTGAGGATATCACGTTCACGTTCGGCATCCGGCACGTTCGCGTTTAGCAGTTCATCATCATCAGCCATGGTCAATCCACTGCTGGATGAAGGCCTCCCAAAGCCAATGTAAGAATCCACCCAGCACCTCCACCCACGCTGGATTTCACCGCTCCATATCCTCGGTCGACGTCCTTGCTATCCATTCCCCGGCCGCCACTCCATCATTATTCTTTATGAAACGGCCATCATGCCTGTTTGCAAGCTGTTTGTTTTGTTTTGATCCAAGCCCACTTTCGTTTATTAACAGTTTAAATTATACCCATGAATCTGCGTATGTTCGCGAATTCACGCATCCTTGCGAGATGCCTCTCGATGTTACTAATCCCACGCATCTCTCCATTGTTGTTGACTTATTGCTTTCGTGACTGCAGGAATTCATACTCTTTGGGTCTTTCGGTAAAGTCACGTAAATAGAAAAATAATAATTAATCACGACTTTTCGATCGCAACACAATTTTTTTTCACCTGAGGAAGATTGCTTGTGTTGCGATCGAAACGTCGTGATTTATTATTTAATATTTTTCTATCTACGTGACTTTACCGAAAGACCCAAAGAGTATGTTGTTGTTGTTGTTGTTGTTAATCTGGCCGTGTTTCTCAACCGTACGCGATAGCGGGGAGTACGTACACTCATTGGACACTCATCCTCAAAATTGGCAATCCCAGTTGTGTCCATGTTTTTTTGTTGTTGCTGTTGCTGCTATACCCACGTCTGTACGATATTTAGCTTTTGTGCCCCAGACGTGCCTTGGTTATAATGATTCTGTCTGTCCAGCGGTGAGCAGTGGAGCATTGGTTAGCGCTGCGCTATGAACCTGGCGACCAGAGTTTAATTCCCGCTCATGGCCACTAACGCCAGTGACGATGATCTAAACAGGTCCTAGACCTCCCCCTACGTCGACTCAGCCTCAAATGAGTACCTGGTGCGGTGTGTAAACATCGCCACTGGGGAAACAAAGGTAGCCAGGCGTGGTGTTGACCACTCATCCCCACGTGTGCCGTGCCGGCCTTCATAGGTGCTGCTCGCTAACAGCACTTGCCCCAAAAGTCTGTTCAGGCTGTACAGGGGATCTTTGTCTTTGAAGGCATGAGCACAATGGGGGGAAATTTCCTGCAGCGCACGTCTAGGGGGTATATTTAAAAGCGTGATATTCATTTAAATCGAATCATGATACGTCTTGTATCGCCATCTCTAACACAGCACAAATGTACAAGTTTCAAATGTTCTTGTGATACTTTTTTTAAAATCCATCACTTTATAAATGTCTCCTCGTTCTTGTTTTACACGATTCGCGCATTTATAATTTTTGCACCTGACTCCCGCTGCGCTCTCTTCATCTTACCTTACATTTATTTAGCACCTTTGATCGAGGCCCAGATGTCGCTCACACACAAAAGGGACTCGAACATTTTTTCTCTTACGTTAAATCGAAACAACGCAAAACGAGAACCGGCGCTGGAAATGATTTCCGGATGAGTCGGAGCGTGGCGGTGGTCGGAGCGAGCCGCGCAGCCTCTCGCTCCGAAGGTCGTGAGGTCAAAACCGAGGTCAGCGGCGGTCGCGACTGAACCAGGCTGGCGCCTGCGCGAGGCTGCAATCCAGCGCCGTGCGGGCGGTGAAGCATTGATGGACCGCAGACATCGGGCCGAGAGGTCGCGTCTCCCGGCTTGTCGGAGGACGATGGCGGTACAGCGAGCGGGATCGACTTACACCTCGTATTCCGTGTGTACGGGGATTGAGTGCTGTCCTTCCCTCGCACATGTGGGTTCTCTCCTCTCACACGCATTTAAAAACCATTGCTGGAGTTGAACCTACATAGGACCACAGAGCGTGGCCAATTGTTGGTGCCAGTAGTGGCTGCCTTCCCAAGCGCTTGTCGGTTGTTTCCCGCACCTCTGGATTCAGTGAAAAGTTGCAGTGCATTACAAGGCTGTGTATTTACTTAAATATAATAATTACATTTAATGGAATAAGGAACTTTCACAGCTGGTTTCCAACTCAAATGAGCATGGGTTGGCACGACTGACGGAAGAGAAAATATTAAGGTTCGATGATGATGACAATAATAATCATGAGAATGATGATGATGATAAGGATGTTTGATGATGATGTTAAGCACGATGATGACAATGATGATTTATTAGTCATGATGTATTCCGCTTTTTCTTTTATCTTTTACCAGGTGAAGCCCACTGTGCTATGATCTCTTTTGCTTAGACGACCTGGCCACACGTGATTGCTCAACGAAGCGGCTTCATCATCGCACGTCGATACGTATAGCAGCAGGAGGCGGACAAAACCGGAGAAAAACCCACACGATCACCGCGGGGAGTGTACATGTACACGTTGAACTTCTTTGGCACCATACGTAGCCGACCGTGCTAAATCGGAGAGAAAACACGCACTCCAAATATACAACGACGGGCATCGCCAGGGGGTCCCGGATCGAACCCACGGCCTGCCGCCTCAGCAGGCGAGGGAGACGACATCCCTCTGACTTAGACGACGGAAGAAGCCACCACTTGGTGGCGGGGCTCAGACTCACTGCTGGAGAAGGAGGCGGAAAATCCGGCGGCGGTGGCGGCGCCCGTGGCCTGGAAGCGCACCGTGACCCGGTTCGCCAGCGCCACGACGGGGCTGGGCGCCGTAGTGCCGCACGCCAGCAGCAGGCGAGACTCGTCCGTCTCACGCCGCCCGTTCCACACCTGTAGGGGGACAACGGGGCGGGAGGGTGACTCGGCAAGGGGAGGGTGACTCGGCAAGGGGAGGGTGACTCGGCAAGGGAAGGGTGACTCGGCAAGGGAAGGGTGACTCGGTAAGGGGAGGGTGACTCGGCAAGGGAAGGGTGACTCAGCCAGTGAAGGATGACTCGGCCAGGGAAGGGTGACTCAGCCAGGGAAGGGTGACTCAGCCAGGGAAGGGTGACTCAGCCAGGGAAGGGTGACTCGGTAAGGGAAGGGTGACTCGGCAAGGGAAGGGTGACTCGGTAAGGGAAGGGTGACTCAGCAAGGGAAGGGTGACTCAGACAGGGAAGGGTGACTTGCCAAGGGAAGGGTGACTCGGCCAGGGGAGGGTGACTCGGCAAGGGAAGGGTGACTCAGCCAGGGAAGGGTGACTCGCCAAGGGAAGGGTGACTCGGCCAGGGAAGGGTGACTCGGCAAGGGAAGGGTGACTCAGCCAGGGAAGGGTGACTCAGCCAGGGAAGGGTGACTCGGTAAGGGAAGGGTGACTCGGCCAGGGAAGGGTGACTCGGCCAGGGAAGGGTGACTCGGCAAGGGAAGGGTGACTCAGCCAGGGAAGGGTGACTCGGCAAGGGAAGGGTGACTCAGCAAGGGAAGGGTGACTCAGTAAGGGAAGGGTGACTCGGCAAGGGAAGGGTGGCAAAGGAATCCGTTCCAGCATCGACCATAAGGAAGCATTGAAATGTCCGCCTCATGCAAGTGAAAACCAAAATCGATGGCGATGTTTTCCGGTTCGTCACGTCAACGAAGCGACGCTTCGACCGGTACCGACCGCCCGCCTCCGCCTCTCCCTACCGCCCCTGCGCCCTCGACGCACCTGCACGTGGCTGGAGCTGCAGGAGGAGTCGGAGGTGGGGATGTTGAAATTGGGGTCGAAGGTGAGCGTCAGGTGCTGGCTCTCGTGGGACACGAGCGTCCACGTGCACTCCGAGTCGGCAGGGAAGGGGTTCGGCCAGCCCGGAGACTTGATGCTGCCGTCCTCCGCGTGGATGATCCCTCCGCACCCTGGTGAGCGGGCGGGTGGGTGGGTTGGTGAAGGGTGAGCGAGTTCGTGAGCGGGTGAGTGTGGGTGAGTGAAGGGTGAGCGAGTGTGTGAATGTGTGTGTGTGTGAGCGCCTGGGCAGCGTTCCGTGTGGTGTCTTTTCGACAGATGCTCGTTATTGACATCTCACGCTAATTGAGGTCCTAATTTCTCAACGTTTTGTTTAGGAATAATTTTCAGCAGGATTGATCCTGCGAGAGACGCAGTCTCATTTTCAGAAAAAAACATCCTCATCTGAAAATTAATCACCGATAGACTTGTTAATTGTATTGATTATGGAAATCATAACTATAACAACAAAAATGGCAAAGGTGTTGTGAATGAGGTGATGGGATTTGGCTATTGTCAGCTTCACAGTGAGACCGAACGCTTGGGTAAATTTCTGCAAATACTGCAAGGTGGTTGTACACGTACGTGGACGTCATCGACCCACAAGGCCATGCGGGAGGGCGTGTGGCACAGTTTGGCACTAGCTATCATAGAGTGCGGCCTTGTCGCTACAGTTCTCTGCGGTGGGTACAACGTTTTTAAAAGACAACGGCGCTACGCCCTCTCTCCAAAAAATATAACGACGAGTCGCTAGCGCTTTCCGAGATTCAGTGGTGAAAGGGACACCCACCCTGGCAATTTTCAGTCGTCTCAGCACGATCGGCTATGTACGGTGCGAAAGAAGTTCAACAGACATACATGCATTTGTCCTCGCGCATCACTGCCACAGCAGCAAGAGCAGCAGCATCGCCGCTAAATAATTCGTTTCAGCTTGAGATCGGATTGCATTTGGGCCGACGGCGGCAGGGGTGCGTGCACGCGCGTGCTGGCGGATTACCGGCCGAGTCGGTGTCCCACACAGCGTGGAAGCCTGCGGCCACCACGCTGCTGTCGGAGCTGAAGAGGATGGCGAGCTTGTTGGAGCCGGAGCGGATCGTGCCGGGCCCGGCCGTGCCGCAGTAGTGGCCGATGACCGGCGAGCTTGGCGCGCCGCCGTTGAAGATGGAGACGGCGTCCCACAAGCAGGTGGTGTGTGGCTCCAGGTGGAACGTCGTGAAGGTGAGCTGTGGTGGGGGCGGTGTGGGGTTGGGGTGGGGTGTCGGTGGGAGAGAGGTCACAGGTGGAAGGGGTCGCTGGCACAAGGAAACTATGAACTGCTATTCTTTTTATTTCACCGGGTAAGTCCCACTAAGCTATGTAGCTCTGTTTCAGAAGTGACCTGGCCATCACAAACGATAGCAGCTCAACGAAGTGGCTTATCACGTGGCAACGTATCACACCCAAATACTCTAAACGCGTGATGTTGATTCTAAAAGTAGAGGGAAAAACCAGAGGTCCTGGAGAAAAATCCACGCGACTACGAGGAGACACATACAAACTCCAAATATGCAGGCGTCCGGGTTGGGATCAAACCCATGACCTCCTGCGTATCAGATGAGGGATTGAACATCTCTGCACCACTGCGGCGCCCTAAACGATGGATGGAGAAGCCCTGTAATGGCGCTTAGCTAGAAGCACACGGCTCACGGTGATGGTGTGGCCCAGTGGAGCCTCCAAGATCCAGGCGCAGCGGTTCTTGTTCCCGTACGGAGCGGGGAAGTTGGGGCTGGAGATCTCCCCACTCTCGGCAATCTGCAGACCTCCGCAGTCTGTACGCGCACGGACGCACAGACGCATGTACGAAAAAGGCGTCTAATTAGATATGGAGTACATATATACGCAGTTGTGGTACAGTGAAGACCCACACACGCATGCACGTTGTACACAACGCAGGTATACGCACTCCCCACGAAGCCCAAAGTGTCGGAGCAAAGCACGCCTCGGCTCTCGTGGGAGACGTTAATCATCTCCGCACGTCTCAAAAGGGCAATAATGACGTCGGTGATATTCTCCGCTCCCCCCGTCTGGAGAAGCGCCATCGGTCGGGAATTTTTAGCTTCTAACAAATTTACAAGGCGGCGCTTGTGAGGATGATGATGATGGTGGTGTCGGAAGGCAGCACTCGGCCGCATTGTTAAACATCGGAGATGCCGGATGATTTAATTGAGGTTGCTGGCCTGCAGACCTTGTCGGCAGGGTCAAGGCCATTAGGCGCAGTTGAGAGGGGGAGGGGTCAGCAAATTTGTGTCGGGGTAAATGTGCGAATTGTCAACGGCGAGGAGCACGTGGCTGCGTTAACGCCAGTGGTTCTCAGCGCAGTAGACAAGAGACGAATGGGGTTCACGAGCCTATAATGAACTACGTCGTCTATTTTTTGTCCAGGAAAGCCTCACCTTTTTTGGGTATGGGTTTGCATTGTATCCCATTAATTTGCATTGGGTCCTGTCGATTTGTATCGGACCCCATTGATTTGTATTAGCTTTGCATTAGGTCCTATTGATTTGTATAGGGTCTCATCGTTTTGTATTGTATGTATGTTAAACTTCTTTCGCACCGTACGTAGCCAACCATGCTAATTGGAGGCGCGGGGGAAGGACAACAAACTAGACACAAATAGCAGTTGTAAAGAAATGAGTTTTCAATATAGATTTAAAAGTGCATAGCTCCAGTGGCTTCCTAATATTAAAAGAGCATTCCAGACAGCTGCAAAAGCGCATCTGAAAGAGTGCGATGTAGTGATCATCTGCAGTAAGGAAGAGAACGACGAACAGCACATGGAGAAGATTTCACGCATTTGCGGGGTTAGGAGAGAGAAGCCTCCTTGAGCGTGGACTGGCACGGGGGAACGAGACCGGCCGCAGGTGGCCGTGCCCAGTCGCCCGTGCCCGTCCGCCCGCCCTGCCGCTACCCACCCGTGAAGACGTATCGCGCCGCGAAGCCCCTGTCCTCCACGAAGGGGTCGGACAGGAAGTGGACCCACAGCTGGGGGGCCGCCATGACGAACGGCACGGCGGGCGCCGACTGCCCGCAGAGGCGCGTGAGCAGCTCCCCGCTCCCGCTGTCTGCGAGGGCGGCAGAGACAAAACGACCGACCGACTTACTGACCGACTCACTGATGGACATATTAGCTGAACACCTGGCTGACGTAATCAACAAACAACTGACTTACTGACCGACTGAATGACTGACCAATTGGCTGATGCACCAACTGAGTTACCGACCGAATCGTCGACTGACTAACTGACTGACCGACCAACCGACTGACTAACTGACCGCTGAATAACCGACTGAGCAATCAACTGAACAATGAACTCACTGACGGAGCGACTGACTGACTGAGCAACTGACTGGCTGGCTGACTGGCCCCTTGACAGATCTGCCAGCGATGCCGGTGGACGGAACAGCTGCTCGTACCGACGCGGAACTCGATGTAGTCCCACTCGCACGTCTGGTGGTGCTCCAGCTTGAAGTCGAAGAACTCGATGTAGATGGAGGAGTTGGCGTGCCGCGGGTTCTCGATCGTCCACTCGCAGTTCAGGTTGGCGACGTAGTTGGTCTGCCCGTCGTAGCCGGGCGACGTGAAATTCCCGCCGGCGGGGTTGGACAGGAGGCCCCCGCACACTGTCCCGTGGGGGGGTTGGGGAGAGAACGCCGCCGTCAGACATCGTCGTGAGGGAAGACTGAAAGGCTTCAACAGCCTCCAAAGTAAGCTTTGAGCCAAGGGCTATGTTGTCGTAGTGGAGGCAGCGCATTTTAAAGAGCTGTCAGACTGACGGATCGAAGAATCTGATGGGGTTTTCTCGAAAACAGACTTACAGAGCGGACCATGGTGGAGTCTCTCGACGATAGACTGGCAGACCCGGTCTCTGATGTGATCTCTAGGCAACAAACTAACAGATCAATCTCCCCTCAAGAGCAACAACTTAGACCACAGAACCGAGGCGTGGCAGACACTCGGCGGTCACCCCCCCCCCCGCGCTCCACACCCTACCCCCCACCCCATCGCCGTACCGGCCTCCTCGTCCGAGTGGTAGGTGGCGCGGAAGCCGGTGCTGGAGCTGTGGGCGTCGGTGCGGAAGCGCACGAGCATCGTGTTCCCGGATGACTGCACGCGCGTGCCGGAGGCCACGTCCCCGCACAGCTGCGCCACCTTCGGCGAGTTCTCGCGCAGCCCGTTGTACACCTGATGTCGCACACGGGGAGCGGGCAGGTAAGGTGAAGGTAGAGACGAAGGCGCAGCCCGTTGTGCACCTGTTGTCGTACACGCTTGGTTCAACCTCGCGAGCAATAGCCTCCCGTTGTCTCTTGCACATTTTGACGGTGGGCGTGTGCGGGTTCCCAGGGTGTGGTGGAGCAAACATCCGGCAGGGGGGAATGTGTCACGATCTTCTGTGACTGAAGGTCGGACTTAGATGTTTGATTTGTGATTTATTTATATTAAGTGACTTGCTCACCTTTTTCCCTATTTTGCACTCCTACCGTTTTTTGTACCGTTTGCAGCTGTAGCTTTGCTGACCCCCGCCCATACCGAACACCTGCGAAAAAGAGCTTCACAGCTCATCGGATTCCTGCCTGCAGTCCAAATCAAGATTCCGGGTTTTGATTCTGAGCGCGCCGGCACCTACCGCCAGGTAGTCGATGGCGCAGTTGGGATGGTCCTGGGTGAGGAAGTCGTGGATGGTGAGCGTGACGCGACGGCCCAGCGGCACCGTGATGCGCCACTCGCACACGCGGCTGTGCGGGTACAGGTTCGGGTAGTTGGGCGACGTGATGGTGCCCGTCGGGGTCGCCAGGTCCCCTCCGCACTCTGATTGTGGTGGTAGAGGGGGGGGGGCGGTGGAGGGGAGAGGGTTTGCGGAGAGAGCGGGGAGCAACGGAGGAAGTCAAAGACATTCCTGCGACTAGACAGGAAGTGCGGCTGTTCGTCTGTGTGCATGGAGAGCGGTGGCATCGCGGTCAGCGCTACGCTGCGCTTCGAACCCGGTGACCCGAGTTCAATTTCCGCTCACGGCCACCAACATCGGTGATGATTATGTGAACCAGTCCTGGGCCTCCCCTCGGTCGACTCAGCCGCAAATGTGTACCTGGTGGGGCTTGTGAACAACGTCACCGGAGAGACAAAGGCAGCCGGGCGTGGTGCTGGCCACCCACCCCATCGTGTGCCGTGCCGGCCTTCATAGGTGCTGCTTACTAACAGCACCTGCCCCAACAGTCTGTTAAGGCTACACGGGGGGGGTGTGGTGGTGGTGGTGGAGAATCTTTATATTTGTCGTGCGTGCGCCCTCCTCACCGTCCACGCTCGACCGGAAGTTAAGGACGAAGCCGTCCCCGCCCCCGGCGCCGTCCGTCACGAAGCGAACGTGCGCGAAGCTGTCGGACGTCTCCATGACGGCGGGGAGGTTCTGCCCGCAGAAGCGGCCCAGCAGCAGGCCTGGGCGGCACGGCCAGCGCGACAACATCGTCGTCGTCATCGTCGTCACCGCCACTCCACCGTACGCATCGTCACTCCGTATGTATGTACTGTGTGTTGAACTTCTTTCGCACCGTTTGTAGCCAAACGTGCTAATCGGAGGTCCGTCATTCTATGCCACACATCGACATTCCGTCATGCCACGATGCACCGGCTCACTCCTTCACAGCTCGACAATCCACCCACATCGCACTTCCACATCGCACCACGCTCCACACATCGCACCACGCTCCACACACCGCTCCACACATCGCACCACGCTCCACACACCGCACCGCGCTCCACACCATCACTGCGTCATTCCACGCCACACCTACACGTCGTCCGTCCAGAACATTTTGTCAATCCTTGTCACCCACTCCAAACGTCATCATCCGTTACGGGGTTTGATTTTGTAAGGGAGAGGAGTGGTGTGTTCTGGCATGGCATGCAGTGGATTGCAGTGGCATGGAGTGGAGTGGCATGCTGTGGTGTGGCATGGAGTGGAGTGGCATGGAGTAGAGTGACATGGTCTGGAGTGGCATGGAGTGGAGTGGCATGCAGTGGAGTGGCATGGAGTGGAGTGGCATGCAGTGGAGTGGCATGGAGTGGAGTGGCATGGAGTGGTGTGGCATGGAGTGGAGTGGCATGGAGTGGTGTGGCATGCAGTGGAGTAGCATGGAGTGGCATGGAGTGGAGTGGCATGGAGTGGAGTGGCATGGAGTGGAGTGGCATGCAGTGGAGTGGCATGCAGTGGAGTGGCATGCAGTGGAGTGGCATGGAGTGGAGTGGAATGCAGTTGAGTGGAGTAGCATGCAGTGGTGTGAAATGACATGGAGCAGAGTAACGTAACATTGAGTGAAGATACATGGATATTGTGTGGTGGCATGGCACGTAATGCTGCGACAGTGACTTGGCATGGCTTTTATTGATGTGCGGTGTGTGTCGTGGCACGGTGTGGTGTGGCGTGGCTTAGATTGATGTGGTGTGGCACGGCGTGGTGTGGCGTGGCTTAGATTGATGTGGTGTGGCACGGCGTGGTGTGGCTTAGATTGATGTGGTGTGGCACGGTGTGGTGTGGCGTGGCTTAGATTGATGTGTCATGGCACGGCGTGGTGTGGTGTGGCTTAGATTGATGTGTCATGGCACGGCGTGGTGTGGTGTGGCTTAGATTGATGTGGTGTGGCACGGCGTGGTGTGGCGTGGTGTGGCTTAGATTGATGTGGTGTGGCACGGCGTGGTGTGGCGTGGCTTAGATTGATGTGTCGCGGCACGGCGTGGTGTGGTGTGGTGTGGCTTAGATTGATGTGTCATGGCACGGTGTGGTGTGGTGTGGCTTAGATTGATGTGTCGTGGCACGGTGTGGCACGGCATGGCTTAGATTGATGTGTCGTGGCACGGTGTGGTGTGGTGTGGCGTGGCTTAGATTGATGTGGTGTGGCACAGCATGGGGGGGTGGCACGCAGTAAGCCGTCATCACCGGTGGAGTTGTACTCGCGGATCTCCACGTAGTCCTGCGAGCAGCTGACAGAGCTCTGTAGGGCCATGTGGGTGAAGGTGAGGATGAGGTAGTGGCCCGTGAGCGCCTCCACATGCCACTCGCAGTTCAGGTTGTTGGGGTACTCGCCCACCAAGTAGTTGGGGCTGATGACGTGGCCACTCTGGCCCACGACCGTGCCGCCGCACGTCGCTGCACCAACACAAACGGCGGCAACACCGCGTCAGCACGTCGCCGCCCGCGAAACCACGGCGACCATGGTGACGATGACGAGGTTATGATGACAATGATGATAATGATGTTGATGATAATGATAACAAAGAGGTCGGCGACATCATCACCACGGCAACGATGATAACCACGAACGATGGCTATCATCGTGCAGGTGATGATGTTGATAATGAAGGTGGTGATGACACTGATGCCGAAGATGATAACGCTGAAGACAACGACGACGCTGATTATCGACAGTTCTGATTAATGACAAAGATGGCGACAGCGACGATGCTGAGACACGGCGATGACGAGGTTAACAAGTGCACTCATGATGATGGAGTTGCCGACGACGACGACCAGCAAGTACCAAGGGAGTAGCGGGCATTGAAGCCGGGGTGGGTGACACTGGAGTCTGTGCGGAAGCGAAGCCGCATCACGTTGCCGCTCGACTTCTGCGTCGAGGGCTTCTGGGAGCCACAGAGGCGGGCGATGAGCGGCGCGTCGTTGCTGCCGCCGTCCCTCACCTCCAGGTAGTCGTACACGCAGCTGTGGCATGGAAGGACAAAGGGGGGGGGGGGCGGTTACGAGGTCGCGGAGTCTCACACGCGTGCAAAGAAAAAGGTCGCCCCGTGTCGCCCGTAACCCATTCCGATGACGCACGTGAACGTCTCGGGAACGTAAACTAACACAAAGTGACTTTGTCGGTACCGACGCTCCCACCAGGCCATGGCGGGAGGGCGTGTGGCACGGTATGGCCCTGGCTATCGTGGAGTACGGTCGTGTCGCGACAGTTCTCTGCGGTGAGTACAATTTCTGGGAAAACAACGGCGCTATGCCTCAGTAAATCAAATTAACGCGAAACCGCTTGCTGTGTTCCGAAATTTTGCGGTGAACGGGAAACCCACCAACTTGCAGTTTTCTTGGAACGGGAAAAGGTTAACAGTCGTTAGCGAGCATCTACGAAGGCCGGCACTGTGGCACACGAGGGGGTGGGTGGCCAGCACCACGTACACGGCCGCCTTCAGCTTCCCCAGTGGCGATGTTGACTACTACGCACCGCGCCAGGTACCGATTTGAGACTGAGTCGACCTAGGGGAGGCCCTGGACCGTTTCAGATAATCGTCACTGGCGTTGGCCCGTTAACAGGAATCGAACTCGGGTCGTGTCGCCGGGGCCGTCGCTCGCACTTCTGGTGGGGCTCGATGTAGAAGGGCTCCACGAAGTCCAGCTGGATGGCCTCGTCGGACGGCGCCGTGATGATCCAGACGCAGTCCATGTTCTGGGGGTAGTTGTTGGGGTGGTTGGGCGACGTCACCGTGCTGCTTGGGCTCTGGTGCGTGAGGCTGAGGACGCCGCCGCAGCCTGCACGGCACGGGGGGGAGGGGAGTGGGGGGGGGGCGGTGGGGAAGGGGCGGGGGGGCGCGGGTTTCAATTTTCTTTTTGCGTCTTTCGTCCCTCGTTCAGATTGTCTTGCGGTCGAGCTATCGGTGTCGCGTTGTAACAAGGTGAAGACGTTAGAACTCTGGAACTGGCTCATGAGCAGTGGAATGGAGACAATTCCCCAAATAAATGGGGCTGAGATAGAAATACTTGTTTTGTTAATCTAATGATGAATTTATATCGTGTCGTTCATGCACATTGCATCTCGCAATTGCTGATGAATCACAGACGAGCTGGAACAATACTGGGCAGTTGGTCACTCCAGACATGTTGGGGTTTTTTTTTCTTAATGCCTGCAACATTTCATGGCTATGAGTCCCACCCATCTGGTTACAGGAGATGTCATTGAGATCCTGATTACAGCAAAGTCCTAAATGAGGTCTCAATCTCTGACCAGAGTGTGCCCCTTTAATCCAGCATATTAATTTCCTCATGCTAACGTGGCACTTTGGCCAAATGACGCCGTGCAGGACAAGGTCACAAATACTATTTTATATTTATTTTACGAGGTAAAGTCCACCGAGCTATATAGCTATTTTTCAGAAGTGACTTGGCCACAAATGAGAGCACAACGAAGTGGCTTATCACGTGAAAGGGTATTTAGCAGCCAAATACTCTTAACAATTCAATTGTGATTCCTGGTTACGTATCTACGTACGTGTGTTGAACTTACTTCGCACTGCATGTAGCCAACCGCGCTCATCGAAGGCGCGGGGAGCAAGGACAGAAAACTAAACGCAGAAAGCAGCCGTAAAGAAACGAGTTTCCAATCCTAAGGTTCCCGAAACGAGGCCCGCAATCGTCGTCCCGTGCGCCGCCAGCGGCCCTCACCAGCGCCGTGCGCTTGGAAGCGCATCTCGAAGCCGTGGTTCTCCGCGCCGCCGTCCGAGTGGAAGTGCACGTAGAGGTCGCGGTCCGTCGTGCTCAGGGTGGGCGGGGGGCTGTTGCCGCAGTAGCGACCCGTGCCGTCGCCGGACGACGCCAGGGGCGGCGAGGTCGCGTTCGCGCCGTTGCGCAGCTGGGATGGGAACGGGTGGGGGGGGGGGGGGTGTGGGGGAGAGGGGGCGGCGGCGTGAGCGGTGCGTGGAACGAACAAATGAGGGGCTGCACCGTGCCGTCGTCAACGGGCTCTCGTACTCGCGGCTCCACCAACATCACGGTCACAATTTCAAAATCGTCATCATATTGATAGTCATAGGGTAGTGCGGCGGTTAACGAGTTGCGCTACGTAGCGGGCGACCTGAGTTCGATTCCCGCTCACGGCCAACACCATTGACGATTATCTGAACCGGTTTTGGGCCTCCCCGAGGTCGACTCAGCCTCAAAATGAGTACCTGGTGTGGTATTTAACCATCGCCACTAGGAAGACACCCACGTGTGCTCGCGAACAGCACTTGTCCCCAACAGTCTGTTAAGGCTATATGGGCTGTGTGGGGGGACAATTTCTTTTTGTGCATCCTCACCTCCAAGAAGTCTCCGGCGCAGTTGACCCCGGTGCCCTGCACCTGGAAGGGCGGCGTGAAGCTGGTGGAGATGACGTAGCCGGGACTGGCCGTCACGTGCCACACGCAGTCGCTGTTGGGTGGGTAGTTGCTGGGGCGGCCGGGCGACGTGATAACGCCCTGGTCGACGTTGTAGCGGCCCCCGCAGCCTGCGATTTCGGCACGAAAACCCAATCGCTTCTTATCAAGCAATTGGTCGCTTCTGTTGATCCACTGGCATTAGAACAGATTGGCACGGACTGCCCGAGAGGCGTTTGATAGACTCTGGTAGGTCGTGAAGTGAAAAATCAAATGCAACCTAGTAGATGAATTGAGCAGCTTGGTTCGTGCGTATGACTACGGGGAGAACATGCACTCCAAATATAGAGGCGTCAGGGTCAGGATCGAACCCACGACCGCCTGTATACCAGACGAGGTTGTTAACATCTCGCGCAGCAATGGGTAGAACGATGCAAAGACCTCACGAATTAAAACCCGGATTGTAACCCCGAGGTCTCAGCGGTGGTGGCTCCGTGATCTCATACACAGCACGAGCCCCCACCCAGAGCGACACGTCCCACTCCAGGGCCACGTGGCCCCCCCAGGACCACGTGCCCCCCCCCCCCAGGACGACAAAGACCCCCCCCAGGGCCCCCCCCGGCGTCACAGCGGGCATCGCTCACCGCTGCGGAAGGTGGCGTTGAAGCCCAGGCCGCGCGTGTGAACGTCGCTGTAGAAGTAGAGGTACATGGACCTGCCCGTGGAGTGCAGGGGGCCCGGAGGGTCCCGGCCACACAGCCGGGCCAGCCTGGGGGAGCTGAGACTGTCGCCTGTGGTCGCGAGGGAACGTAAGGGGGGAAGGGCAAGTGCTGTTAAAGGCAAACGTTTCCTTCACACCGCTATCATTGTACAATTCTAACTCACTGATCCGTGCAATATCAATCTTATCAATCAGTCTTTATTTTACGCGCCAATATCTCCCTCGATAAAGCAGGCATCGGTGCGCGTTACAACAGAACGCGAACGGCACGGAGGGGCACACGGCGACGGAAATTTAAAAAATAAATTCATCATGACCTCAGCGGCTGACACGGACAATCGCGTAGATGTTACGCCCGTCCCAAAAGCACATTTCTCGAAGACTTACGTTGACATCGCGTGTGGGGTGGTGGCGCAGTGGTCGCACACTGCACTATGAACCCGGAGGCTTGGGTTCGATTCCTGGCCACGGCTATTGTCAGAGCGATATTCCTGAGCTCTTGCCGCCATCGCCCTGCATTGACCAGCGTGGCGAAGTACAGTCGAAAAATTTCCACGGCCGACATAGGGTGAGGAGGCCTTCATTTTTGGCAGCGGACAAAACGAAGTATTATTATAAATAAAGCTGATTGTCTGTGCAGTCCCATTTCAATTATCACCTTTGGCTGATATTGCTCCACTGGTCTTGTGATTATTCTGCGTGTTTATCAGAAAAACTTCACTCAAATTTTCACAGTGAGGGGCTGGGATTATGTTTTTTTTTTTTACAAATTAGTAATATTCATGTAATTTGGCAAATGTGGTCCATGACTATGGCACGCAACGGCCTACTACTCTCGTGATTTTACCGTGGAATCGACGACCTCTCCAGGAGTGAAAGCAGCTGAGATAACCCGCACTGTCGGTTTAACAGACCTCCTCCACTTTGCGTAGCAACCCTTACCACGTGCCCCCCCCACCTCCAATTGCCCCCCACCCACCCTCACCATCATGCACGCCCAGGTAGTCGTACAAGCAGGATCCGTGCATCTCGATGTCCATGAAGAGGACGTCGAGCTGAACGCTGTGGCCCTGCGGCGCATGGATGACCCACGCGCAGCCCAGGTTGTCTTCGTACTCCCCGGGCCAGCCCGGCGAGAAGATGGCCCTCGCCGCGTCGCCCGCCGCCAGCTCGCCACCGCACGCACCTGCGGGCAGAGCGGCGGAGCGTCGCAAACCCATCGCAGCGGTCGCTGGGTGGGCCGGGTGCTCGGACCCACCGTGACGTCTCCCACCCCGTGGCACGGCACGCACCCTCCGTGGGTTGTAACGCCCCTAGGCATGCCTCGTACTGTGGCATGGGGCCCGGTGCTGTGTCTAAGTGGCATGGGGCCCTGTCCAGTGTCTAAGTGGCATGGGGTCTTGTGCAGTGGCTAAGTAGCATGCGGCCCTGTACAGTGTCTAAGTGGCATGGGGCCCTGTCTAGTGTCTAAGTGACATGGGGCCCTGTACAGTGTTTAAGTGGCATGGGGCCCGGTGCTGTATCTAAGTGACATGGGGCCCTGTACAGTGTCTAAGTGGCATGGGGCCCTGTCCAGTGTCTAAGTGGCATGGGGCCCGGTGCTGTGTCTAAGTGACATGGGGCCCTGTACAGTGTCTAAGTGGCATGGGGCCCTGTACAGTGTCTAAGTGGCATGGGGCCCTGTCCAGTGTATAAGTGGCATGGGGCCCTGTACAGTGTCTAAGTGGCATGGGGTCTTGTGCAGTGTCTAAGTGGCATGGGGCCCTGTACAGTGTCTAAGTGACATGGGGCCCTGTACAGTGTCTAAGTGGCATGGGGCCCGGTGCTGTGTCTAAGTGGCATGGGGCCCTGTCCAGTGTCTAAGTGACATGGGGCCCGGTGCTGTGTCTAAGTGGCATGGGGCCCTGTCCAGTGTCTAAGTGGCATGGGGCCCTGTCCAGTGTCTAAGTGGCATGGGGCCCTGTACAGTGTCTAAGTGGCATGGGGCCCTGTACAGTGTCTAAGTGACATGGGGCCCGGTGCTGTGTCTAAGTGACATGGGGCCCGGTGCTGTGTCTAAGTGACATGGGCCCTGTACAGTGTCTAAGTGGCATGGAGCCCTGTACAGTGTCTAAGTGACATGGGGCCCGGTGCTGTGTCTAAGTGACATGGGGCCCGGTGCTGTGTCTAAGTGACATGGGGCCCTGTACAGTGTCTAAGTGGCATGGGGCCCTGTACAGTGTCTAAGTGGCATGGGGACCTTACGGTGTCTAAATGGCATGGGGCCCTGTACTGTGTCTAAGTGGCATGGGGCCCTGTACTCTGTGTGACACAGGACCATATATATATAAAAAAAAAACTATTATATGTGATGGTCATTTTTCAAACCTCGCAAAATTGGACGTCGATGCCGGCATAAGTGGCCTGCTCATTTTCAAAAACCGCCACTGGATCTTTAACGTCCATCGCAAAAACATACGATGAGTAGTGTGTGTGTGTGTGAACAACGCACCCTCAGTATTAACCAGGGCGGCCGCCTGGCTCGCAGCATGATCCCCTGCAGCAAGCAGCAAACGCCACGATCTCTCGGCTATTTCTTTCCTTGCTCGACTGTGATAATCTGTTTGTACTCTGAAACACAGTGGATCGGGCCTAGACACTTAGCACTGAAACTTTAACCCTTGAATCTTGACCTGGGCCAGAGGGCAAGGACAACCATCGCACCTCGCTCTTACCAGGGGTAATGGTGGGTGGCACAGAGGGATCGATGTCGCCCGGGAAGACGCGCCAATCAACCAGGAAGCCTCGCCCGGCGACGGACGAGTCCGTGTGGAAGAAGAGGCTGATGCTGCTGCCCGTGCTGCGCAGGGGGCCGGGCGGCGTCAAGCCGCAGAACGTCCCGAGGAGCGGCGCGCTCGAGTCAAGCCCGTTGTGCACCTGTGGCGGGGGGGTCGGAAAGGTCACGCGAGACCCTCATGGTTTTTCTCGCCGTCGCGTTCCCGACGACGACGTCGTCATTGTTTTCCCTCTCGTAGGTTCTCGTCACACCTCCCCTGCGACGCTCCGCGCAAATGGGGCAGCTTCCCCGGTGTTGGTGGGGGTGGGGGGAGCGGGGTGGGCAGTGCTCACCGAGAGCTTGTCGTAGGTGCAGACAGTGGAGTCCTCGATGTCCATCTCCAAGAAGGTGATGTGCACTCGCTCGCTCGCGTCGCCCGCGCGGATCGTCCAGCGGTAGTCCACGTTGTGCGGGTACGTGCGCGGCCACAAAGGCGACGCCACCTGCCCGCTGGTGCCCGTGATGTCGTTCCCGAACTCTGTGCATCGCAAATGCGGGAGAGGTGCGCGCGTTGGCACGACGGCCTCTGTACGACCACCCACTGCAGACATGATGTCCGACGTTTCGCTCCACGTGCTGGGAGCTTCGAAGTGAATCCGAATGGATCCCGAATAAAAGCTCCCAGGAAGGTTAGTGCCAATCTCAAGCACACTGTGGTCGGTGTTAAATCTACAAATCGTCAGGCATGAAATAAGATGTTGAGCATGGCACTGTGTTCAACTTTGTAACTCTCGTACCTGTCACTCTATAATCCTCTAACGCTAATGACAGAGCTCTGTGGGCAATAGTGTTGCCACTTCTGAGTTACAATAAAAACCAGAAGAGAATCTCACAATTCCGCAAGAGGCTAGGAACTGCACGTAAATGCATTGTCTTGAGTGGTGTGGTGTTGTCATTATCATTCCGACACTGACAAGGAAACAGGACTTTCAATGGTCCGGGGAAGATTCACAGATTCCCCAGGACGGCAGCTACCTCAAACAGAGGACAGTCCTCGAAAAACCAGGATAGGTGGCAACCGTCATGGCCAGCGTTCACATTTCCTGAGCATGGGCCCTGCACTATGGGTAACAACATCGGGGGGTGGACCTCATGCGCCCCCCCCCCCCTCCTCCCCCACCCCCCCGTGTCATGCGCTCCACTCACGGTGAGAGAATTCGGCCATGAATCCGGCGCCGTTGCCGTGGCCGTTGGACACGAACTTGACCCAGAGCACGTGCCTCGCCACCAGCGTGTAGTCGGGGGGCAGGCTCGCGCCGCAGAACCTCCCGACCAGCGGCCCCGTCGCGTTGTTCTCGCGCACCTCCACGAGGTCCCCGTCGCCCTCGGCCCCGCAGGCCGTCGGGCCGTCCAGCTGGAAGAACCTGCGGCACCGCGGCGCGGCCGCCCGTCAGGTGGGAATCGGAGGGGTGGGACGGCCTAGCAGGCGGCCTAGCGGGCGCGGGTGTCGAGGTCGCACGCCGGGTGCGGCTGTCTCCTGCGCTGGTGGGAGACCAAGAGTGGCCCACGGTGCGAATGCGGCCACCGGTCTTACGCCGTGGACCGCGCCAGTAATGTCACTCACGTCCCAAAGTCACTCCATGGGTCTGTGTGTGAGTCTGTGGGTCTCTACGCAAGTCTACGCAATTTTGGGAGTTTGCATGTGCTCTCTCCCGGCGGTTGTGTGGATTTTTCGCCAGGTTCTCCGATGTTTCCCTCCACATTTAAAATCAACATGCATTCAAAGTATTTGGCTGATATAGATTTCCACATGATAAGCCACTTTGAGATAGCCAGGTCGCTTCTGAAAAAGATCTATGCAGCTCAGTGGGCCTTAGCTGGTCAAATAAAGTAGTTTTTCAATAGTTGAATCGAGTGCACGCGTGTGTGTGTGTGCGTGTGGTTTCACTCGTGTGTCAGTGTGAAGGAGGGAGATTGAGGATGAATAGGAGAGCAGGAGAGAGAGAGAGAGAGCTGCAGGGAAAGCGCCTCTTGCCTGAAGGTGAGCTGCACGCGGTTTCCGGGAGAGCTCTGCAGCACCCAGGTGCACTCCGTGTCAGAGGGGTACGGCTCAGGGTAGTTGGGGCTGTTGAAGGCCCCGGTCTCCCCATGGAACGTCCCTCCGCACGCTGCACGCGCCGACAGGACCGCCGCCAAGCCGACCGGCGCAACTACGTCACGAGGCGTCCGCGACGGCGATCGTGACGTCAAGATGCTAACCACTTCGCCTGGGATACAGGAGGTCGTGGGTTCGATTCCGACCCTGACGCCTGCTGCTGTATATTCGGAGTTTGCGTGTCGCTCTCCACGTGGTCGTGTGGAATTATCTCCGAGTCCTCCGGTTTTCCCCTCCACATTTAGAAACGTGCATTTAGACTATTTGGCTGCTGTACATTTTCACGTGATGAACCACTTCGTTGAGCTATCGTTTGTGATAGCCATGTCTCTTCTGAAAAATAGCTATGAATCTCAGTGGGCCTTACCTGATGAAGACCGCTTGTGTTGCGATTGAAACGTCGTGGGTTTTTTGCTTTTATTATTTAACATTTATTTTTATTTTACATTTTTATTTTTGTATTTGTATTTTACGTGACTTTACCGAAAGAACCAAGAATATGTCCTGCAGTCACGAAAGTTTTAAATCAAAATGATAATAATAGTTTAAACTTGTAACGTGCCGCATGGTATTTGCTTACTCTCGGAGAGAGAGAACCCCGACTCAGAGGCGCGAGGAACCAACAGTTGCCCAAGCTCTGCGGTCCTCTTTATGTTACCAGCAAATGAATAAATGTTTTGCATGTGGGAGGGAAACGGAGCTCCTGGAGACAACCCACACGTGCGAGGGGGAATCACTTTATCCCGTACAGACGGAACATTTTTGCCGCACCTCCTTCTCCTGGTGAGCCAGGGGTACGGCTACTCCTCGATGCTCACGGGGAGGGCAGTTTCACACGCGTGTGTGCGGCGATCCATCAACCCTCGCTACCGCCTCCACACACAGCTGGGCCACAGACAGCCAAGTGCTGTACGTGTGCACGTTGAATTTCTTTCGCACCGTGTGCGGGAATGACAACTAAACACAAAAAGCGGTTCTAAAGAAATTAGTTTCTCAATTGAGATGATTCAAAAGTGCGTAGCGCTTCCTAATGTCGGAAGCAAGAGCGTCTCAGACGGCCGAAGAGGCGGGTCTGAGAGCACGTGATGTGGCGACTGCCCTGTGTCCGACGGCTCTAAAGCGCCCTCCGCGGTTCGTCGTGACGGGCGTGAGACGGCGTGCGAACCTGAGTAGGAGGCGCCATAGACGAGGCGGAATCCTGCACCCTCCAGCACGTTGTCCGACACGAAGTTAAGGTGAAGGGCGTTGCCGTGCGAGGTGATGGGCGCCGGCAGGTCGCGGCCGCACAGCCGCGCCACTGACGGGGCCCACGGATTGTCACCATCCAGCACCTCCAGGTGGTCCGTGCTGCAGTTGGCGCCGCGGTTCTCGATGTCCATCTCCGTGAACGACACGGTCACGTGGCCGACTGCAAGCGGCAGAGGCAGCGGCGGCGGCAGCAGAAGAAGTCAATGCGGCAGGAGCAGCTGGCGACAGCACGGACGGCAAATGAGTCGGTTGGCTGCGATGCGCGAGCGTTGAGCCCCGGTTGGGGTGGCGGCTCAGGGACTCATGGAGCGCCGTGGTGGCTAGGAGATGTTAACTACCTCGCCTGGTATACAGGAGGTCGTGGGTTCGATCCCGACCCTGACGTCTGCTGTGTATTCGGGGCTTACGTGTTCTCCCCGTGGTCGCGTGGATTTTTCTCCGGGTGCCTCCACATTGAGAATCAACATCATGCGTCGAGAGTATTCGGCTGCTATAAATTTCCACCTGATGAGACACTTCGCTAACATTTGTGATGTCGCTTTTGACAAAGAGCTCTACAGCTCCAGTGGGCCTTACCTGGTAAAAATAAAATAAAAAAAATAGTTCATAGTGACTCACAGTTCTCGTGCGCCTCGATGATCCAGCTGCAGTTCTGGTTGCTGGGGTAGTTGTGTGGGTGCAGCGGGGAGGTGACGGCACCACCGACGGCGTCCGCGATGATCCTGTACCCACACCCTGCAGCCGGTGGACAGAGGGGCGGGAGTCGGATGGCGTTCAGCGATAGGAGACACTCACTCGGTGGACGTTGTAATGAGACAAAGGCTCGATGATGTTAATGGTCATGATAATGATGTTGATGATGATGATGACAATTTGATCATTACTGATGTTGATGATGGTGAAATTATGTTGATGATGACGTGGATAATGGTGTTGATTATAATTTTGATGTTGATGGCGGTGATGACTCTGATGATCGTATTGCCCACGATGTTGATCATGGTGTTGATGATGACAATGACGATGACGGTGTTGATGACGACGATAATTGTGTTGATGACGATGCCGACGATGACGTTAATGATGACGGTGATGACGGTGTTGATGTTGGTAACCACGACGACGATGGTGCTGACGACGACAGTGATGACGACGGTGCTGATGACGACGGTGATGACGATGGTGCTGATGACGACGGTGACGACGTTGCTGATGACGACGTTGACGACGTTGACGACGACGGCGCCGCCGTTCACCGGTGCTGAAGGAGGCGCTGAAGCCGTGCCGCTGCACGCTGCCGTCGGAGCGGAAGCGCACGAACAGCACGTTCCCCGTGGCGGCGAGCGCCGGCGGCAGCGCCGTGCCGCACAGCTTCGCCAGTAGCGGCGCGTGCTCGTTGCTGCCGTCGTGCACCTGTACGCATGGACGCAGGGGCGCCGCGGTGGCGAGGAGATGTCAACTCCCTCGCCCGGTATGCAGGAGGTCGTGGGTTCGATCGTGACCCTGACACCTGCTGATGTGTAGTTGGGAGTTTACGCGTCTCTCTCGCTCTCTCTCCCCGCGTTCGCGGACATTTTTCTCCGGGCCCTCCGGGTTTTCCCTCCGCAATGAGAATCGATGTACGTTCGGAGTATTTGCCTGCTATGAATTTTCCGCGCGGTAAGCCACTTCGTAGACCTAACATTTGTGGCCAGGTCGCTTCTGAAAAACAGCTATGTGCCTCAGTGGGCCTTACCTGGTAAAATATTTTTTTACAATTGTTTTAGGCATGCAATCGGAGGTACGGGTGAAGGACAACAAACTGAACACCAAAGCTGTTATAAAGAACCTGCTGAGCGACGCTACCACGACCACCATCATCATCGGCAATCACCATCAACATCAATATCTTCGTAATCATCAAAACGTCATCATCATCAATATCACTGTCCCCATCAACATCATCGCTGTCGTTGCAATTGCCGTCAATATCAAACATCCTAAGCATCATCAACGTCATCATTGTCATCACCGTCGTTGTCATCAACATTAAGCATCATCGAACATTGGTGACGGTGGGCTCTCACTTTGTTACATTGTCCACTGAGAGAGCGATTGATTCATGGTGGAGCCACGGAGGCCTGGCTGGACACACATGAGCCCAACGGGGCATGGACGCGAGAGCGAGCATCGAGCGAGCGATTGTGCGAGGCGATTGCGCAAGCCTTACAGCGACGTAGTCGTAGTTGCAGTTGCTGTGCGTCTCCAGGTCGAAGGTGTTGAAGGCGAGCTGCACGCGGTGATTGTGTGCCACCGACACGAGCCATGAGCAGTCGACGTTGGTGCCGTACGGCTGCGGGTAATTGGGCGAGTGGATCTCTCCGCTCGGGGCGCTCACGTTGCCGCCGCAGCCTGAGGGAGGCAGGGAGGGCATCGGGGACAATAGGTGGGGGGTGGGGGGTGGGGATGGGGGGAAAGTTGAAAGGAACAAAGTTGAGAGGAAAGAGGCAGAGGGGGTGTCTGCGACGACGCGTGTTCGAGCCGTACCCCGGCTTCGCTCAGAATGACGAGCCGACGTTTCGCTCCCAAGTGGGGGGGAGGGAGCGAAACGTCGGACGTCGTGCCGGAACAGCGCGCAGCAACATCCCGAAAAAACCCGCGGGAGAGCCGTACAGCGCAAGCGCGAACACCTGGTACACAGGGGATGCCATCTTCGTTTCTCAAGTTTATTTCAGGCATTTCATGATTCACCACTTCCCCTCGCACCTCTCACCACCGCCGCATCTTCCCCCACATTTTGACGTCTTGTCACAATTTTTGGTCGCGATTTGATCCGAGTAGCAATTATTTAGTCGTCGCTGCTGCGCTGTCGAGCGCACCGGACTCTATTGCAGTTCTCGCGTTTCCACGCCAACCACCGACTGAAACTTTTCCGGGGTCCTCCGCTTTCCTCCCGACTCAGCACGGGACAAACACGCCACCGCAGAGCCATCCCGGAATAAGAGTAATGCCTTTCCTGGGAAGATGATTGTAATAACTACCCGTTCGTAAAAACACTTACACAGAGTTGTATACGAGCCATAAATGATAGATCATTATGTCTGTGGTTCAGTGCATGAGCAGCAAGTGTAAGAATCAATATTAGATCATTGATCATCGCTTACCTATGTTCAGTTATTATTTGGTTTGCGGCCCGTGTTTCTGTAACGTGTATCTACTTGCAAAGGCAATTGATGATGTTGATGATGATGCTGGTGATGATCACCATCATCGTCATAACCAATTTATTTTCAAATTGCACCTCGTTTCATTTTCCACAAATCGGATGGAAAATAATAATTTCGCCATTCTCTTGAGCATTAAATGGGCCGAATGCACAGGTGTTCTAACGGCATGGACATAACACAAATAGAGAAAAATCCTGGAAACATCTTTAAAAACCTCCATTGCTTCTTCCAGCCCTCCAGCACATTGAATAGGTTACCCAATCTCTCACAAGCACATCTGAAAAGCACCATCTCACAAGTACAATCTCACCGATGCAATCTCACAAACAAAATCACAAAGGCACAATCTCAAAAATGCAATCTTACAAGCACCTCTATGCCCTCTACCACCACGTCCCTACATCCTTCCGGGGGAGGAGGGGGGGGCTCACCTCCAGGCCTCTCCTGCCAGGAGGCGTGGAATCCCTTCTTGCTGACGGACACGTCGGTCTTGAAGCGCACCACCATGTGGTTGCCTGTGCTGCTCACGTGGTGAGGTTGGCCGGGCGGCTGCGAGTGGCACAGCTGGACCAGTCGCACCGAGCTCAGGTCGGGACCCCCGTACACCTGGCACAAGGACAAAGGTGCCCCCCCGCCATCAGGAGAAGACAACAGAGGGGACGTCATGCGTGAGATCAGCACCATGGTTGACTACGTACGGTGGGAAAGAAGTTCAACGTAGGTAGGTACGTGACGGTGGAATGGGACGGTGATCACGAGCGGAGGGGTAAGGATTTCTAAAATATTATTTATAACAGTAATTGTATTTTATATCGTGTCAATGGTGTTAATAGCATCCCACAACAATGTATACTAATTATATATATCAGCCAATACCAAGCCAGTTAAAACCCTACTACCAAGCAAAATCAAAATGAATAAACTAAATTAAGAAATGGCACCAAAGAAAAAAGCACAAACAACTAAAAAGTTATCACAACAATAACAAAAATGATATTCACGTTTTCCAAAATCATCGGTAGGAAAACCTTCGGTACCGGTGAAAACACCACAAAGAACAATGTGCATTGGCCAAGAGGGGCATAGAGCGATTTAAACATGGATAAAAGACGAGCAGCGGGGGGCAGGACAATAATGTACGTATGTTGATGTGTGTGTGTGTGATGGCCTTCTTTCGCACCGTACGTACAGGCTACCGCGCTAATCGGGAGAATGAACGCTCCAGGGCACGAAGGACGGGAAGGAAATCACGGGAGGAGGCCAGAGTCCGTGGCCGACGTGGCCGCTTGCGAACCGCGACGTGGACGACGGCACGACCTCTCACCTCCAGGACGTCGTAGTTGCAGTTGGGGTGGCTCTCGACCTCGAACACGTCGATGGTGAGCTGCACGCTGCTGCCCTGCGACGTCTCCAGGAACCAGAGGCACTCGCGGTTGTTGGGGTAGTTGTTCGGGTAGCCGGGACTGTTGAACTCTCCGCTCGGTCCCGTGAGGTCTCCCCCGCAGCCTGCGAGGAGCGAGGGGATGAGACGGGGGCGACAGGGCAGGAGGTCAAGGGTCGGCGGCATCTCCGCGCGAGTCACTGAACCATCGCCTCCGAAGCCCTCGGTCGACCGGCGTGCGTCACGGCAGCAACGTGGCGTGCGTATTGTGCATGTGTTGACGAGAGGGCGTGTGTGTTGACGAGAGGGCGTGTGTGTTGACGAGAGGGCCTGTTTGTTGACGAGAGGGCCTGTGTGTTGACGAGAGGGCGTGTGTGTTGATGAGAGGGCGTGTGTGTTGACGAGAGGGCCTGTGTGTTGACGAGAGGGCGTGTGTGTTGACGAGAGGGCCTGTGTGTTGGCGGCATCAACAGCGTTCAGAATTACGAAGGTTTGAAGACCGCTCGCGATTCACTCAATTGGGTAAAACCATAAAGCGACATCGCCCTGCACTGTAAGACGAACTCTGGACTAGAACTGTCTTTGAAACCTAACGCCGTCACGGAAGCCATGCGCTCAAAGAATGGCGTGATAACAACATGGACTAATGATGTACTGATTCATTGCTTAAAATCGATTCTTAGGTTCGTGATAGGTGCATCAACTGTTTTAGACTCATGTACGCAGTAAGCAATTGTTTCACGTGACCCCTGCATCAACTGGAGGTGCTACATTCGCCAATGCACTCCTAAAATAACGAATCGATCCTAGAATCCCATAGCTATCCCATACCACAAGAATGCATTGACTTGCAAGGGAGCCAAGCAATTACATGCTTCATGTAGATTAAATAATTGTGTAGAGGACAGTTTAACGGGTACACCGCTGCAACACACTGCGCATGCAACTTCTCCCACAGTTCCCCCTTCAAACGGCTCCCCCATCATTTGCCGCCCACCCCACCCCCTCTCGCTCTCTCCCATTTCCCCACCGTTCCCTCCGTCTATCCTGGACTGTTTTCTGCGCTCCCCTTCCCACCCGCACACTCCCACCTTGCGCGTACCGTTTTGGTACCAGCTCATCTGGAATCCGCTGTAAGCGACGGAGGAGTCGGTGACGAAGGTGGTGTAGAGGTGCTGGCCCGTGGTCTGGCCGGCCGGGGGTCGATCCGTGCCGCCGAACCTGCCAATGAGCGGCGCTGAGCCGTCAGAGCCGTCAAAGAGCTGTGGGCGGTGGAGAGGCACGGAGGCAGATGGTGAGCGGTGGCAAAGGTGCGGCCCTGCAATTGCTAGCTTGTGCCACTGCAGGAGGAAGGGCCTCTACTACAGGATGCTCTAGAGCAGTGTTCTTCACTGAAAGGCTCGCAGGCCACTGGCGGCCTCTGGTGGCCTTCAGTCGCGACCCCTGACGTGCGGCCCTCGACAATACACAAATGTGAAATCACCCCCGTGACATAAACATCATCGATTGGCTCGTACAATTGTGACTGCGAATCGAGACAATTCACAGAGCGATGAGCAGCGGTGATATATTACATCTATAATGATTGCCACCGACTGAGCACACGAATATTGACAAAGCTACTTGAACAAATACAAAATAGCACTGCACGTAGTAAACCGTGCTAATCGGAGGTGTGGGGGAAGGACAACACGCTAAACACAAAAATCAGTTCTAAAGAAATTAGTTTGTCAATCTAGATTATTTAAAAGTGCCATAGCTCCAGTTGCTTCCTAATATATATCGGAAGGCAGAGCATTCCAGACGGCCGCATAAGCGTATTTGAAATCGCCGCACGATGCGGTGACCGTCTTTGTTCGATGGTTCGCCAAAAGCCGCTGCTGTGAGGATGACCGGAGTTCATGTGATAGTTTGCGTCTGAAAGCGCGCGATGCGGTGACCGAGCTTTGAATGAAAACACAATACAACAAAAAACATAAGATAATCATTTAGAGTTATTCATGCAAACAAATCATCGAGCGAATCGTCGCTCGCGTAGTGTCCTCGCGCGCCTCCGGCACTCGCCTCCACGTAGTCAAAGAAGACGTGCTCCAGCTGGAAGGTGATGAAGGTGTAGTTGACGGTGTTCCCCAAGGTGGCCGATATGAGCCAGTTACAGTTGCTGTTGTGCGGGTAGACGTTGGGGAAGTTGGGGCTCTCCAAATGGCCACGTGTGCGGTTCACAATCACCGTGCCCTGGCAGACTTTGTTGGGTTGTATGCAGTTGGGGTATCGAGGTGGGTCAGTCGGGGTGAGTGGCGGTCAGGAGTTATTGGAGTTGGTGTGGACGTGGAAGTGAGTGGTGGTTGGGAGTTTTGGCGTTGGGGTTTGAGTATAGGAACAGGGACAAGGCAAGAAACAGTTTCAATTATGCGACAGTTTAAGTTAAACACTGGGCAAGTATCACGCACCACTGAGCCAGTGGGAGACAATTCACGTATCTGCGTGGCTTCAAAGCATCACAGTTAATGGCAACTCTTGCAACAAGTATACTTTAAATATTTACCAAATGAGTGCATTATTACCGAGTCTCAAGACGCTCATTCTGCTTAAACAATCCCTCTTCAAGAAATTCCCAAACGAATATTTATCTACACGCTATGAAGCCAGAGTGGCCAGAGATAGGGTAAAAAAAAACACGTCAAAAAGTTGTCCTAGAGATAAGGGGTGGAGCCGTGTTGTAGTGATAAGCGTATTGCGCTACAAACCCCACTAAACAAGTTCAGTTCCTAGCCACGGCTAACATCAGCGGCGGGTGATGTCTCAACGCGTTGCCCCCACTTCGCCAACCCCCTGCACTGAGCAGCGCGGCGAAGCGCGGCGAAGCAACCGCACAGCACGGGGGGAGACCTTCATCCAGCGGCGGAGAGACAACGAGCCGCGCCGGCTAGGGGAAAGACGACAGCGGCCGGGCGAGTGTGGGACGCGAGCCGGCCGGCCGGCCGGGCGCGCGGGCAGGCAGGCGGGCGGGCGGGCGGGCGGGCGGGCGGGCGGGCGGGCGGGCGGGCGGGGGCGTACCCTGGGTGTAGGTGGCGAAGAATCCTCCGGCGCTGATGGAGCCGTCCGTGCGCAGCTTCACGTACATGTGGTCGCCGCTGCTCTCGATGGGCGGCGGGATGCCGTCGTGGCACAGGTTGGCGAGCTGCGGCGCATTCGCGCTCGAGCCGTCGAACACCTGACGGGTCAGAGGGGCGCGCCGCTTGAGGCAGTGGCGGCCGGGTTGACGCGGCGCAACGACCCGGTTCGAGTGAGACGGAGCCGGCGGATTCGCCACGCTTTCAAAAAGCAAATCGGATATAGCGCGATGAATGTATTGGGGACGGCATTTTTTCGCGGCGCGAATTGGATACGACGCGATGGAGTGAACGGAACTACGTCGCGCGAGTAGGAATAAGCGGTTGTGCGTTTGCCTCAGCGTAGCATCATCGCAAAGGGCTTTGGGATGCTGCTGGATCCTTCTAGATGCTACCCACGCGCCTCAGTCTTTGTTCAGCCTGGGTACGCATCTCACCTGTTATCACGGACTGTGCTTTACCCTATATTATATACTATTTATTATAACGCGATTTTTCCATAACACGGTATTCTTCAGGAACGCAGCTACCGCGTTGTAGGACATCACGAACGTACGGCGAAAAACATGAAATAAACGTACGGCGAGGTAGTCATAAGCGCAGCTCCCGTGCGACTCCAGGTGGAAGTCGGCGAAGGTCAGGCGCAGGCGACTGCCGGCGGAGGCGCGGATCAGCCAGTAGCACTCTTCGTTGGGCGGGTAGGGCAGCGGGTAGTTGGGGGACGTGAAGCTTCCCGTTGCGCCCGTCAGCGTCGCTCCGCAGCCTGGCCACGGTCAAGAGCACGGCGGATGGTCGTGAACTTAAACGCGAGTTGTGCGCGCGCGCGTGTGTGCTGGTTCTCGAATGCAGTTCTTCCCAACGTTCTTCGCCCCACGTGCTTCACTCCTGATAAAGTGTCCATTTGGTCGGACATCGAGATGAGCGACGCACGGTAACAATCAGAAGGCTCGTCAGAGAGCCACGCAGCACGAACGGCCGGGATCGCTCTCACTTGCCGAACTATAACTTGACCGCGGCGACTGACTTTCGATTGTCTGTTCATGTAATTTTTATTGAGCGAATGCTATTCCACGCGGCTTCCCGCAGCCCAAGCACCGGACACTTGTACAGGTGAAACTGGTGTGACTAGAGTCGCGTGTCGGCCTGGATCATGTCGATTCAGCCAGCGAGCTGCAGCTTTGGTTTCCCCGGACATGGCTAACATAACTGGGTACTTGCGGGGGACACGATAAGGACGTAGCTGCTGCGTGTGTCCCCCCCTGTTAATGTAATAGCTGTGGTGGTCTATGTCGTAAGGATATTAAAGTTCTTTGAAGATGTCCAAAAACTAACGTATGGATCTTCGTTGCCAATTTCTCTTTTTTTTCGAAAAAGCACCTGAAGTGATTGATTTCTTCTCGTTCGAGTTGCTTCGTAGTGTGTGGTAATATTCACTAGAGGGCGTCGTTACCAGGCATGTGAACGATTGCTTGCTGGATCTGCGTGGGACTCGGTTGTCATTTACCGTGGTTTAGGTTTCTGTCAAGTTACCGCTGCTTCTGTGAGCAAACATTATGCGGTGTCAGAAGTAGGTCCGCATACTTATGTATCACACGATAAAGCTTCGCCCTTAACCCACCCCTTTACCACTGAATAAATGCCGTACAATACATGTTACAGATGTATAATGTTGTGCATTTGTCAATGCGTGGTTGCTATGTCGTACGTGTCCATAGACACGATGGGCAGACACAATAGCAACCGCAATTTTGGCTCTCGAGGCACCAATAATAATAAAATCGTGGGATTTCCACTTTTGACGTTGACGGGGCTGCGCGGTACAGACCGCCGCCACTGTCACGAGCCACCGAGCCAGACCACGGAGCCAGACCACTGAGCCAGACCACTGAGCCAGACCACTGAGCCAGACCACTGAGCCAGACCACTGAGCCAGACCACTGAGCCAGACCATTGAACCAGACCACGGAGCCAGACCACGGAGCCAGACCACTGAGCCAGACCATTGAGCCAGACCACTGAGCCAGGTCACTGAGCCAGACCACCGAGCCAGACCATTGAGCCAGACCACTGAGCCAGACCACCGAGCCAGACCACCGAGCCAGACCACTGAGCCAGACCACTGAGCCAGACCACTGAGCCAGGTCACTGAGCCAGACCACTGAGCCAGGTCACTGAGCCAGACCACCGAGCCAGACCACTGAGCCAGACCACCGAGCCAGGTCACTGAGCCAGACCACCGAGCCAGACCATTGAGCCAGACCATTGAGCCAGACCACTGAGCCAGACCACCGAGCCAGACCACTGAGCCAGACCACCGAGCCAGGTCACTGAGCCAGACCACCGAGCCAGACCATTGAGCCAGACCACCGAGCCAGACCACTGAGCCAGACCACCGAGCCAGACCATTGAGCCAGACCACCGAGCCAGACCACTGAGCCAGACCATTGAGCCAGACCACCGAGCCAGACCACCGAGCCAGACCACCGTGCCAGGCCATTGAGCCAGACCGTCAACGCACACCCCGGAGACGTCGGGATCCCGCGTCGCTGTGCCCGCTCACCCGTGGCCGTGCCGTCCCAGTGAGCCGAGAATCCTCGAGCCTCCACGGAGCCGTCCGTCCTGAACTTGAACCACAGCTTGTTCCCGTGCGACAGGAGGAGGGGCGGTGCGCTCGTACCGCAGTACTTCCCCACCAGCGGAGACGTCTCGTAGCCACCATTCCTATGAACGGCACACGGACCGTGAGTCCCATATGTACGTACGCATGTTGAACGTCTTTCGCACCGTAAATCGCCAACCATGCTCATCCGAGGTGCGAGGGAAGGACACCAAACTAAACACAAAAAGCAGTTCTAAAGAAATGAGTTTTCAATCTTAATTTAAACGTGCATAGCTCCAGTGCCTTCCTAATATCGGAAGGAAGAGCGTTCCAGACGGCCGCAGAAGCGCATGTGAAAGCGCGCGATGCAGTGACTACCGTCTTTGTTCGATGGCAATAAAAAAGCAGCTTCCAGGATGCCCGGAGTTTGCGCGATGGTTTAGGTTCCTTGACGAGATCATCAAGGTACTGTGGTTCATTTGTGGCAAGCACTTCCTGATTAATGAGTGCGTATAAAAGATAAATATATACGTATATGCAAATATTATACAGACGTGTCACTAAATGAAGAACCCATTTAGGATTCCCTAAAGTGGTGCTCCACTCCAATGACAGAGAACGGCCAGCAAAAGCAGGTATCACGTAACGAGTGCAATGAGTTTGTAGCTAACTATTGTACTTCTGAGTTGCCTTCAAGTGACCTGTCATCTGCACTCCTTGTTGCGTGACGGTCAAACTGAAATTGTAGGCAAATTCCGTGCGGGACCAAATTTTACGTCACGTTTATTTTTTCCCTGCAGCAATTGGTGATTGGGCCAAGACCATCAACCTGCTACGCTTGAGAACTCATGGTTTCAACTATGCGTGGCTACCGATATTTGATCCCAAGATCTCAGTGGTGCCGAATGGATGCTCTGATCCCCCAGCTCCATGGAAACCTCTCAACATCATCATCTTCGTGATGAGCAGACACCAGCACCGCCTGGCGAGGCTGCATTTGCACTCTGTAGGATATAAAACATTGTTATCCTGCGGGTACAAAAGCTCCTGCGCAACAATGTGGAACTTCCACCACCGACTCTGGGCTGCAATTGGAGAGGAACACCGTCCATCACCTTGCCCGTGTGTTCGCTTGCAATTGAAATTTCTCACCTGATTTCGAGGTAGTCAAAAGGACAGTTGCCGTTGCCAGGCCCCTCGAGCAGGAAGTCGGTGAAGTTGAGGGCGATCTGGCGGCCAGCCCCCACCGTGATGGTGTAGATGCACTCCCGGTAGCCGGGGTAGTTTGCCGGGTAGTTGGGCGACGTCATCACGCCAGACGGGTCGGTGAACACCTGTCCGCACGCTGCATGCGGCACGGAGATGCACACTTAGCGTCAGTCGGGAGTGGGTGGCACAGCCGATTACGCCTGCCTGGCCTGACGTCCTCCTCCCTGCTGAGACCGTGCTGCTTATTCCTACGTGTGCGACGATTTTTATTACGCATAAAGTGGTGCCACAAATGAGCCACAGTACCTTGCTGGTAGGAACCGGAAAGAGAGGGAGACCTAATATAGAACGGCTTTACGTCGACATTAGAGATTGCTGCCAGAAAGATGTGGCACTACTTGAGCATATAGTGGCACAAGACAGAGAGGAAAGTTGAAACAAGTGACGAAATGTGCAGTGGTCACCTCCAGGTTATCTGCCCATTGATCGCGATGATGACCTTGATAATCTCGTCAAGGAGCACAAACCATCGTGCAAACTCTGGGTCATCCTCACAGCCGCTTTTGGCGAACCATCAAACAAAGATGGTCACCGATATTAGGAAGCCACTGGAGCTAGGCACTTTTAAATAATCTACATTGTAAATTTATTTCTTTAGAACTGCTTTTTATGTTAAATTTGTTGTCCTACCCCCGCACCTCCGATCAGCACGGTTGGCTCCGTACGGTGCGAAAGAAGTTCAACATACGTCAACATACATTATTCCCCCATAGCCATTCTATGAATCGTCATGATTCTGGGGTCAGGAATAGATTCAAGAATGCAATACTTTTATTCCCGATGTTTCCGTTCCGTTTGCTTGTTGCTTATTTGTACAGTGTCGTCCAATGTCTTCGCCACCATGTAACAGGACATAATTTGCGTACGCTTTGCATAAAGGTTCAACGATTAAAATTCTCGCATACTGGATTATCCGACGCGGGCATCGCGAGCGCGGTCATCATTAAAGCGTGATAAGTGCAATGAAGGCAGAATTTCAAGGTGACATCATTCACAAAGGCAGATCGTTGCGTGCCTTCTCCATCAATGCCAAAATACCCCAACGTATGTAAACTACCGACACTATAAATAATGCAATTGCGCTCGTTCAAAAAGGGGGGGGGGGCATTGACTTCACTCAATAAGTCCGGCGCACACTGTCAGACCCCCTTCGAGCCGGGCAGTGCATATCAGTGGCCAGTCGATGGCTTGAGACTGTGGTGGCACCGTGAGAGTGGAGAGAAAGAGACGGGGGTATTGCGTTTGCTTTCTACACACTCAAGAAATATCTGGTGCGGCTCCTGTGAGCAATACGTGTGTGAAATACGTGCCACTCTAGAAGTCCGCACGTTACACAACGCACACAAAAGGAAAAAAAAATACCCTTAAGGGATCAGGAAGTCAATTAAGAAGGTCGAGTTTTGGCAGCGAGGTGACTCTCACAGCTGTGGTTATACCAGCTTCGCCGTCATTATAAATCATCGGCACGAGTTGGCCTGGTGGTTTAGGGGGGACAGAGCGCCGAGCCGCTGGTCCCGAGATCCCGCGTTCGAACTCGCACGGAGCGGGATCGCCCGCGGCTCACTTGTGGATGCGTTGAGTGCCACGTAGGAGGCCGAGAAGCCCTCGGTGCTGATGCTGGCGTCGGCCACGAAGAGGATGGTGAGCACGTTGGTGGTGGTGGTGATGGAGGGAGGTATCGAGCGGCCACAGAACCTGCGATGGGCGCACGCCACACACACGATATGCTACCACACACACGACATGCCTCCACACACACGAGATGCCACCACACACACGACATGCCACCACACACACGACATGCCACCACACACACGACATGCCACCACACACACGACATGCCACCACACACACGACATGGCACCACACACACGACATGCCACCGCACACACGACATACCACCACACACACGACATGCCACCACACACGCCCCGCACCACCACACACACGACATGCCACCACACACATGACATGGCACCACACACACGACATGGCACCACACACACGACATGCCACCGCACACACGACATGCCACCACACACGGCACGCACCACCACACACGCCACGCCCCACCACACACACGCCACGCACCACACACACGACATGCCACCACACACACGACATGCCACCACACACGGCACGCACCACCACACACGCTAAGGACCACCACACATGCCACGCACCACCACACACACGCCACGCACCACACACACGACATGCCACCGCACACACGACATGCCACCACACACACGACATGCCACCACACACACGACATGCCACCGCACACACGACATGCCACCACCAGACACGCCACGCACCACCACACACAGGACGTGCCACCACACACGCCACGCACCACCACACACACGACGTGCCACCACACACGCCACGCACCACCACACACACGATGCCCCACCACACACACGACATGCCACCACACACGCCACGCACCACCACACACACGATGCCCCACCACACACAGGACGTGCCACCACACACGCCACGCACCACCACACACACGATGCGCCACCACACACGTGGAGGCGACAGGTCACAGCGGGCCCTCGAACCTGGCGATCGCTGGGCAGCTGTCGACGCAGCCAGGGGGAAGTATCGGAACTTTCGATTCACTTTCATCTCTGCAGGTGTGAAGTTTTCTCCGGATTTTTATCAGGGAATTCTAGCTTCCTCCTACAATACAGAGCTACAGCAAGGAAGAGGCCGAATATCCTAAATAAGACCTGGGATATGCTGAAGCTTTCTTGTGATGGTGATGATGAGCAGCATTTATTTTGCTGCTGATTATGTTGCTACTCCTGACGACGATGACAATGACGCACGTGGTGATGCAAAGAGAGCGCTGAGGTGATTATGATGATCATGCGGATGGCCGCGATGATTGCAGCCGATAACGATGATTAAGACTGACGATGACGCATTTCTTTTATTTCTGGTTCTGTTTGGTTACATTACTCCTTCCCCCCCCGCCTCCCCCCATTTCGCGTTCTTCAATTTTCTTCCCTTCCCTCTTAAATACACCGCTCCTGATCGTTACCCCGTCTGCGAAAGGGTTGCGGGCCTAGACGCCCCCGATGAATCCCTCATTTTGAGGGTGTATTACGTTTAAGTGTGTTACACACGTTATCTGCAGTTTTGTTCCCCCTCTTTTTGGAATCTACTTTGTATTCTGGGTTCCTTGATGACAATAACACATTTATATAAAAAGACACAGCGACGCCGATGACGACGACGATGATGCCGCCAACGATGATGCCGCCGCCGATGACGCCGATGACAATGACGACGATGACAATGACGCCGATGACAATGACGCCGATGACGCGGGCGCAAGGCTCCGCGTCGCCGGATCGAACTCCGTACCTCCTCGCCCTAACCCCCCCCCCCCCGCCATCCCTCCCGAGCCCCCCACCCCCGCCGCACCTGCCAATGAGGCTCTCGCTGGCCGTGGTGCTGTTGTCGTAGAGCTCCACGTAGTCGTAGGCGCAGTTCTGGTGGTACTCGAGCGTGAAGGTGGTGAAGGTGAGGCGCACGATGAAGCCGGGCTGCACCGCGACGTGCCACGTGCAGTTGGCGCCGTGCGGGTACGGGGTCGGGTGGCCGGGACTCGACACGGTGCCCTGCTGGGCCGTGTAGGTGGCACCGCACGCTGATGTCGCGGCAAAGACGAGAGGACGTGGGGAGGGGGGGGAGCGGGGATGGTGGTCGACGGAGAGAGAGGGGGAGGGTGAGCGGTGGCGATGAGCGGTTGACAGGAGGTAGTTGGCGAGTGTCAAACAATCTGGGGGAGAGCGAGCGACTGCTGAACATTAACGCTGAGAGTTCCAGTGCAGCACTGGGCTCACGGAAACTGCAGGGGCTTCAAATGTCGTGTCGCGGCAAAGAGTAGCACAGAGCGTCAGGGTACAAAGCAACAGAACGATGTAATGTCAACCGCTGACCGATCTTCTTTTCACAAACATTCCGTGTAAAGATTGGACCCAAATGTTGCATTTTAATTACGCGAATTTTAATGAGCCACGAGATGATTCCGAGCCACGAAGAGAGTGGATCCTAATGACGGAGTGTCCCTGTTATATAAGGCAAATATAATCTCTACGACGTCCTTAGCTCATGGTTTGCGAGACAGCTTGTCTGTTTGGACGTAGCGTGAAGTAGATAATCAAAGTGGCCGTGATGGTGGTGGTGGTGGTGTTGATGTTACATTTTTTTTGTGGGTATGACGTCGATGATAAGGACTGATTGTATTCGAAGTAGTATCTTTAATCACAACTTTCTTGAAAAGAAAAAAAAAGAACCACAGAGGCATAACCTCATTGTTGGCGACTCCCCGTGATGCGAGCGAATACTGCGTGGTGCATTACTCGTTGAAATCATTATTATTATTCGAACGATGACGACGTCGATACTGACGGACTCACGGGACTCGTCGTACTGTGCCGTGAAGCCATTGTTGGCCACCGAAGCGTCGGTCACGAACTTGACGTAGAGCAGGCTCTGCGTGGACTGAGCCGGTGGGGGCAGCCCAGTGCCACAGTAGCGGCCGATGAGGGTAGCGTCCTCGCTGCCTCCATCCCGAATCTGATCCCGGGCGGACGCGTCCAGCGGTGAGCCACGCGCAGCAACGCGCCGTTGAGACGGAGGAGAAGCGGTCACGGGGGTTTGGGGGTGGTCAGAGTTAGGCCTTGTGACGAGCCACACACAAGAGGGGTCATCGAGTTGAAGGCGAAGTAATTGTGGGCAAGAGATGGGTCCGGTCAAATAATAAAAAATAACATTCGTCAATGGGGCAGGTGAACCACTGTCACGTTTGAACAGAGCTTGGAGTATAACTTCGGATGCAAAGGTTGTACATGCATATTGACCAGAGAGTCGAGTGACTAACTGTGCGAGTGATCGGGCAAAACGAAAATGAACAAACGAGCGAGCGAGTGAGCGAGTGAGTGAGTGAGCGAGCGAGTGAGCGAGCGAGCGAGCGAGTGATTGAGCGAGCGAGTGAGTGAGCGAGCGAGTGAGCGAGCGAGCGGGCACCTCGACGTAGTCGTATCTGCAGTCGCTGGCGTTCTCGATGTCGAAGGTGAGGAAGTTGAGCGTCACCGACTTGCCCTGTGGCTGCGAGATGATGTACTCGCAGGTGCGCCCGTGCGGGTACGCGTTGGGGTGGTACGGGGTGCGGATCTCTCCCATTCCGCTGAACTGTCCTCCGCACGCTGCCGTCGGGGGTCAGGGGTTGGGTGTGCAGAGGTCACGGGTCACAAGGAGTGCGGAGGAGTGCAAGGACTCGTGAAGTTCACATTGTGCGTTATGATAGACAATGCCCTTTTTCCAAGAAATCCGGAGTCTCATACATTTTTCAGGAGGGTCCTGCATTGGGATGTTTGGCCAATTCCACGAATGAGCATTTGCCGTGTGGACGCGACCCACAGAAAACGCATGCGTGCGAGGCATAACGCTCAACGCTCTACACACCCTCAACTCCCATTAGCACGGTCGGCTACGTACGGTGCGAAAGAAGTGCAACGTACATACGTAATATATGCATACGTGAAGTCCATTGCTCTACCGTCATCTAATTGCTTCTCTCCTACGAAATCAGAAAGAGCAGCTGCTGCCTGGACCATGCGAGCGGAACCAGGACAGGGGTGTGAACCGGGGGCCTCGTACCGACTTGGTAGAGCGCGCGGAAGCCGGCGTGGGTCACGGAGTGGTCGGACTTGAAGCGGAGCCACAGGCTGTACGAGGAGGAGGTGATGGGTGCCGGGATGTCGCTGCTGCAGTACTTCCCGATCAGAGGCGCCGACTCGGAGTTTCCATCTCTCACCTGGCTCACAGTACAGTGTGGCACGATGGGTAACAGTGGGCACGGTGGGCACGGTGGGGTACAGTGGGCACAGTGGGGTACAGTGGGCACGTTGGGCACGGTGGGGTACAGTGGGCACGGTGGGCACGGCGGGATGAAGAGGGTGGATGGTCGAATACAATTTCCGTTGATTCATGGGTCAGAGGGCTGAGCCAGCACAGCTGAGATCCGGGGTTCGACTCTGGATTTCATCCGCACGTGAAAAAAAAACTGGGTTCTTAAGAGTGTAGTGAGCTGATGGTCTTGGCATGGTCAGTGATGACTGCGCATGAATCAAATAAGTTGAACTAAATTTGTTTCTTTACTTAATTTGGCTAAATCACGATTTGAATGCCAGGTGACAAACATTTCAAATTGGTGGATATAAAAGGGTCACCGAAGAGAATCGATTACATTGGCATGAGACGAAATATCTTTGCAGGCCATTGACATATGTGCCCCGAGGGTGTAAACGTGGGCCTTGTGAATTGACTTCAGTGGTAGTTCTGCGGCGTCATGTTTCAGGGCCGTTCTCCGACAGAAGGTGATAGCATTGCTGGCCGCAGCTGTGACTAGAAAGATAGCGGCATTACGGCAGGACCCCGTATAGCACGGCCTTCAAATAAAGCTGCGACGTTTCACCGCGCCGATCGTGATAATGTATTTACACTGACGAATTTGTGAATCGCCGCGTCCCTCGTTTACCGCGAGGGTTTCATTGTCCACAGAGCACATGCCTCACGTCACAAATCGTCTCCGCTCAGGCGCCTCACCAGATTAACTGCTCGTTTTTATGGGCCCACACTACCAGCAGCTGATCGTGTTGGCTCTTCTGTGAAGTTTACCGCCTTCTACTGGGGGGGCGGGGTTTTTTAATGCTCGACTCCGCACGAGCAGGGGGACTTTAGCTTCTGCCCATAAAGAACGCCACGTGATGTGCGTGCACCTTAAAGATTATCGTTACCTTTGCCAGCAGATTTATTTATGTCCCTGTGGTTAAAGTTGGCAAAACTGCATTGCAATTACAAAGAAGTGTTGCACCCTGTGTGCCCTGTTAATGTGTGACGGTACGGCTGTGCCACAAAGCGGTGTCACTTTTTGACCAGCCATGTGACCGTTTTGCCAGAATCAATCAGCTTCAAGGGCAATGCATCCTTTACCACAGCATATTCGTTTGCATGTTTTTTACTGCGATTGGCTGCCTTGTAATAGGTGTCTATTGGGTGTTTTAACATCTTAACACCTATATTCTGCCAGAAATGGTGAAGCATTTTTAAAAATGATTAACCTTTTCCCATTCCGAGACGTCTGCAAGTTGCAGGGTGGGTGTCCCATTCACCGCTGAATCTCGGAACGCGCAAGCGGTTCGCGTTAATTTAATTTAGAGAGGCACAGCACCACTGTTTTTAAAGACATTGAACTCACCACAGAGAATTGTAGCGACATGACCGCACTCTATGATAGCTGGCAGCAAACCGTGCCACACTCCCGCATGGCCTTTTACTTCCGATTCGTATGCGTACGTCATCGGAACGGAATCGGAAGAAAAACTGATGACGTACACATACGTCAACTTTGAGCATTTACCAAACACCCTCATTTAATATTGCACTCGGTTTGCGTGTGAAACGCGCGCTAAGTCGGGCAGAGGGAATTGAGCTAGGTCAGAGGTCACGCCGAACTGCAGAGTTACTTGAGACAGTGCACAGGCATTGACCACCCTGGCTCCGCTCCGTTCTCATCGAGACGAGGCTTGGCGGTCTCGAGAACCCGCGGGGGAATTTATGGACGTCAGTTTTAATGTTTCACCTTTCAGGTCCTGCCACATGCAGCACGGTGCTCCTGGTAATCTCTGACTGGGCACGTGACGCTACCCACCCAGAGCAACTGCATGTTATGGTTGCGCGGATGTTTGTACATGAGGCTTTGCAGGTGTATGCCGAACTTATTTTGCACCGTACGTAGCCAACCGTGCTACTCAGAGGAAAGGACAACAAAACTAAACACAAAACGCAGTTCTAAAGAAAATAGTTTTTTGTATAGTTTAAAAGTGCATAGCTCCAGTAGCTTCTTCCTAATATCGGAAGGAAGAGCGTTCCAGACGGCTGCAGGTCGGCTGTCTGTAGACTGAGCTGCATGGTGCATCTGTGGCTACTTGGTTGTCTGTACACCAAGCTGCATGGTGTCCGTCTCCGAGACTGGAGAGCTGTCGAGACACGAGCCTGCCTACTCGCCCATGCTGCTCTCCCGCATCGCGCGCGTACATACGTACGTACGCACGCGCACGCATCCACGTGTGTGTGTTCAGTGCACCGCGTGGGCCCCGCACCTCCACAAAGTCGAAGGCGCAGCTGCTGTGCCCCTCGAGCTGCATGTCGGTGAAGGTGAGCGCCACCGTCTCCCCCACGGGCTGCCGCACCAGGTAGATGCACTGCCGGTTGTGTGGGTAGGGGTTGGGCCAGTTGGGCGAGATGAGCACCCCATCGCTGTCCGTGTACGTTCCTCCGCAGCCCGGGTCCGCTGTGGGGGGCGAACGACGATGGGCAGAGCAGCGGCGGCGACGACGACGAGGTTAGAGAAGGGTCAGGGAGAGTGGGTGGACGAGGCACGTAACGTTGCGGGTACTTTACGATCCACGGTTGAAATGTGTTGGTGTGCGCATGGTACAGGCAATCGAATCGTGTACGTGTGTGTGTGTGAAAGAATGTATTATTTTTAGTTACGCAAATGATAAGCTAGTGTTAATTCGAGGCCCATGGAGCCGAACGTAACTGTGTGAAAGAGGTGGAACGAAGTGAGATGTTGATGCAGATGAGATGGTAAAAATTAGACGAATACTTCCGATGCCTGCGTTGTGACTCCCAAACTTGACAAATGTTCACTGGCAGCATCATTATCAGTAACATCGCCATCATCACCATAATTGTACAAATGATGACCACTGTCTCGTAGCACTGTTGGCCAATAAGAAATCGAATTTCAGAAGTAATTGGAAAAACCAAAGGTCGTTTAGTAAAACAAAAACATGTAGGGGTGATATTTTTGGGCGCATTACTGTTTGTTGATATGTACACATATGATGATGCTGCGATGACATTGAGATCCTGTTTTTAATGGATGTTGATTATTCAATGTATTTTGTGACTTAAAATGTGCTATAGTTGTTACCAATGACATTTAGTGGAAGTATAAATTTAAATTACGTACTATTTTATTTCTACTTAATCTTTTCCCTTACTTCCTTACTTTTTTTTTTATCCATGTTAACCAAATGAATTCATCCCAAATATTTTAGACGATATTTATTGAATGAACAGATTACAATATTTAGTTTACTAAAATTCCCCACCTCCCAGTAGCCACAGGGTGGAGCCATGGGCCTGCTGTTCAGTTTGTGTTTTAAAATTGGCTTGTCCTGGCAGAGCAGTTATCTACATCAGGTGGACATTATTTTGTCTGCTTTCTGAACACGATTGAATAAATATTAGTTTAAAGCTTTCGTGACTGCAGGAATGCATATTCTTTGGGTTTTTCGGTAAAGTCACGTAGATAGGTTCAAATAAAAAAATAACGACAAACTACACGCGTGTGTGTGTAATTGTGTGGGTGTACTCGTGTGTGAATACGTGATTTCGCGTGCATGTGGACTCGTGTGTGTGTATTTGTGCACGTATGTGTATGTGCTAGCACAAGCGGTGCAACTGCCATCTCGGGCAGTCAACCCAAAACACCTGGGCGTGCCACGTGACCTCCTGCCAGCGAGCCTTCGCCGCCTCAGAGTGCAACTAGCTTGGCGCAAGCGCCGCGGTGACGCTACCGCGCGCGTGCACGCGTTCGCCTGCGCGCGCGCGCACGCGCGCTGCCTGCCTGCGTACACGGCGAGGTGGTGTATGTGACGTGGAAGCCGCGGTCGCTGACGCTGCCGTCCGAGTGGAAGTGCACGAGGGCGCTGGGCCCCGTGCTCTGCACGGGCGGGGGGTTCCCCGAGCTGCAGAAGCGGCCCAGCACGGGGTCCGACTCCTGGAGGCCGTCTCGGATCTACGCGGGGGAGCACCGGGCAGAGGGGAGACGCACGGGGACACGGGGACCGGTGATGCGGGGGCATGGGGGACACGGGGAGGCGGGGACACGGGACTTGGGGACATGGGGACACGGGACATGGGGACGCAGGAACACAGTGACACGGGACACGGAGACACAGGTACACGGGACATGGGACACGGGACACGGGGACACAGTGACATGAGGCACGGGAACAGGGGGTCCGAGTCGATCTAACAAGGCGGAGGAGTGCACAAGCACAATGGTGATAATGCATAGGGTAAGTAGTGGCAGAGTTACATGTAGAGCTCTTTTTGTCAATCCACTGCTGGATGAGGGCCTCCCCACGCCGCATTTCTTCACATTCCATTTAGCAACGCAACCCCAGCAACACAACCCCACATGGCCGTGCACGGTACGTGTGTGTGTGTGTGAAGTCTGTTGTGTGGTCCTGCCAGTCATCTCAGTCAACCCACGGCACCTGCGTCTGTCCCGTTACCTGTTGCCAGCGAGCGTTCGACACTTCACGTGGCCTCAAAAGTGCACATAGCTTGGCACAAGCGCCGTGGTGACGTCAGTGCCACTGAGTGGCGAACGGCGGTTGTTGTTGTTGTTGTTGTTTGTTTGATGTTGTTTTTCTTGCGGTGGCCCTGCTCGGTCTCTTGTCGCGAGACGGCGCGCGAGTTTCGACGCTCGACCGCTCGCGACGACAACGCGGGCGAGGTGCGTGAGCGCTTGGCGCACCTCCAGAAAGTCGTAGTTGCAGTCGGGGTGGGTCTCCAGGTGCAGCGCGCCGAACGCGAAGGTGATGAGGAGTCCGGGAGAGACCGACACCGTCCAGAAGCAGTCGCGGTTCGGTGGGTAGTTCCCGGGGTAACCGGGCGACGAGAAGTCCCCGTAGTTGTCCAAAAGTTCGCCGCCGCAAACTGTGGCGGACGCACGGCGCCGTCACTTCGGCTCCCCAAGCGCTTACCGGGGGGCTTTTTGGGCATGCCCGTGAAAGCGTGGGTTGCGTGCGTGCGTGCGAACGGGCGTGCGTGTGAACGTGCGTGCGAACGTGCGTGCGAACGTGCGTCGAACGTGCGTGTGAACGTGCGTGCGTGCGAACAGGAGTGCGTGCGAAAGTGCGTGCGTGTGAACGGGCGTGCGCGTAAACAGGCGAGCAATCGTGCGTGCGTGCGACTCGTACGGGGCGCGCGGGACTCCCACACGACGGTGAATCCGCCAGCGTTGATGGAGTGATCCGAGCGGAACCAGAAGTAGAGCGTGTTGTGCGAGCTGATGAGCTCGCTGGGCACCGTCGTCCCGCAGAACTTCCCCAGCATGTGGGTCGAGGCGGAGCTGCCGTCGTGGATCTGCAGCCAGTCGAACTGGCAGGTGGAGCCTCCCTCCAGGTGGAAGAACGGGAACGTGATGCGCACCACCTGCCAAGACGGAGAAGCGCGGCCGGCCGCGAGCGTGAAAGAGGGCAGAGGGACTGCCGTCGTCGGCGGTGCGCGCGAGTGTGGATCGAAATGAACAAAAAGTTCCTATGGCAGGGTCGTCAAGATTGCCTCCAGGACGAGCTGATTCCCTGCAAGGTTTGTCGTCATTCTGTTGACTCCGATGGGATGAATAGCTGAGAGGTCATCACCATTATTGTACACTTTTTATATTAATCAGGCACTATAAATCTATCAATGCTCTCAAAGTGCCAATGTATTTCGCAGGACTGGCGAAACATGATAAACAGTAGCTCTAGAAGAAAACATCAATAAACGTATTATTATTAAATCACAAGCCATCTCATGTCCCGACCACTGTGTATGTACCAAGCGAGGAATTTGGGCGATTTTTCCAGAGCGTGGCGATGTTAAAATGTTGCCACTTTGTTGTTGTTTGCATTTGTCTTTCGCGCACGTGCTCGAGCGCGAGCAAGCGCGCGTGCGCAGGTGCACGTGCGCCTCACCTGATTGGATGCCACCTCGATGACCCAGGCGCAGCTGACCTGGTGGTCGTAGCTCTCGGAGCCCGGAGTGGTGGGGTAGCTGAACGAGCCGGCGGGGCCCGACAGCCACCCGCCACACACTGCACACACAGCGCAGGCGTCGCCACGCGCACGTGAAACCTCTCCCACCGTCAGCACTCGCCACTGTGGATCGCTATTATTATTATTACTATGATTGCACCCGTTCACCCAGGAGGGCCTCGTCGAGTCTCGCAACTGTTCTTTTGGCAGGGTCCTGCCAAGGTTTTCGCAGAAGAGGGCGATGGTTTGCTGTGTTTACAGTAATTCCAACTGGGCGCCACTGTGGCGAGATGTTTACTCTCTCGCCAGCGATACAGGAGGCGTGGGTTCAATCCCGACGCCTGTTGCTTATTTGGAGTTTGCGGTGTCTCTCTCTCCCCGTGATTGTGTGGATTCTTCTCTGGGTCCTCCGGTTTTTCCCTCCAACATTTGGAATCAACGTGCATTTAGGGTGGTTGGCTGCTATCAATTTCCACGTGATGAGCCACTTTGATGAGCTATCATTTGTGGCCAGCTCGCTTCTGAAAAAGAGCATTTTGTTATTTAACCTTTATTTAACCAGGTAAAAAAACCCCTTGAGGTTTAAAACCTCTTTTGCGAGGGGGACCTGGCAAGAAGTCAGCAAAAAGAGATCAGCATACACATATCCCCTGTATAGCCTTAACAGACTGTAGGGGCAAGTGCTGTTAGCGAGCACCTATGAAGGCCGGAACGGTACACGAGGGGGTGGGTGGCCAGCACCACGCCCGACCGCCTTAGTCTCCCCAGTGGCAATGTTTTTATCCACCGCACCAGGTACTCATTTGAGGCTGAGTGGACCTAGGGGAGGCGCAGGACCGGTTCAGATAATCGTCACTGGTGTTGGCCGTGAGCGGGAATCGAACCCGGGTCGCCAGGTTCATAGCACAGCGCGCTAACCGCTACACTACCGCTCCCCACACATACACACAGATACACACACACAATACGAAATAGTACAATACAGAACGTTCAAAACAATTACAATGGTCAATGACATTTTTTTCTCTCAGAGCTTTGAAATCAGACGGTGATGCCCATCTTCTCCAGTTTTAAATATCGTTTGTAATTCATTCCAGGACCAAGGAGGATGATTAGGGCCTTACCTGATTAAAAAAAATAGTTGTTTACTTTTTAGAGGCACGTGAAGAACAGATAGCGCACCAGTGAGTATCTAACTGCGCTACGGACCTGGCGAACCGAGTCTGATTCCCAACCGCTGCTACTATACATTTCCACGTGTGATGCTGAAGCCACTTCGATGAGCTATCATGTGTGGCTAGGTGACTTCTTCAAAAATATCTGCATATAGCTGAGTGGGCCTTACCTGGTAAAATAAAATGAAAAATTAGCTTTGTTTTTCAGTTTTAAAGCTCCACAGTCAGCCTCACCGGGGCCATCCCGACCCCGACCCCCCCGTACCCTGCGTGGGCGTCTGGCAGTTGGTGCCCGTCCAGCTGCTGGTGCAGGTGCAGGTGTAGGAGTCGGTGCCGTCCACGCAGGTCCCCCCGTTGAGGCAGGGGCTGCTGGCACACTCGTTGATGTTCTGGTTACAGATGGTGCCGCTCCAGCCCGCTTCGCACGCGCACACGAAGCCCGTCGTCTGCTCCTGTGTGCGCGAGAGGGGCGGCGACGCGCCGCGCGCGTGTCGGCGCCATGGGTTTTTTTTGGCTGGGTCGTCATCGTCGTCATCGTCAGTGAGCCGTGGTCAATCCACTGCTGGGTGAAGGCCTTGCCCAAGCCGTCGCTGTCTCTCACGGTCACGCGATGGAACGATCCATCCAGATCCTGCGCGTGAGCTGAATTCGTCGCTTCATCTCCCTCGGTGAGCGTACGCACCCTTTGGAAGTGTTCTGATACTCCAATGAAATAGAGGAGAAACTGGTAATGGGTCACGCCATAGAAATGTGGAATTTATACCACGTGACATCAGCAGAGCTGTATAATGATGATGAAAATTATTTACTCAAGATTCCTTTAATAAGGGTGCTGTTTTAGGATGTTTATCTAAAGCTGTAAATGAAACTGGAATCGCTATGGCAAACAGATATGCGGGGTTAATCGTCAATGCTGTCATCACCTGACCACGTCGCAGGCCCACAACACACTTGGCAAGCCCTGGGGGTCACCCATCAAAGTACTAACCAGGCTCACCACTGATTAGTTTGCAGGATCCGACGAGATTGGCCACATTTAGGATAACTTGGTTGCAGTCTGCTGTGTAGCAACCATATCTAAACTTCAGATATGCCGAGTACGCATATTTATATAAATAATTGAGTAATATTTTAGAAGTAAATAATACTGTCAAAGAACATCGGGTGGCTGGTAAAGAAGAAAAGTTTAACATTTTATGCAGGGCAATAATTCAATTTGCCACGGAGAGAACATATCTGATACACCGCTGTGCCGGAGTCTGAAGGCTTGGGCGACCTGTATGTCAGCCATTAAAAAGGGCTCACTCATGGCTCCGGGCAAGGCTGGCACTAAACTCTGGACGAAAACTGCAACCCCCACGGCAGGAGGGGCAACTTCACACCCACACATGGGCTCACGTATTTCGGCAACTTTCGGCACGCGCTTATGATCTGGCGAAAAGAACGCTGGAACGCCTAAAGAAGTGGTGGAACGCAGCGAGCCCGATATTTTCCTCTTCTAAACTCAGGAGCACAGCGTTTGGAACTTGTGTCCGCGGAATTTCTGTCCCTGTACTCGGTTCCTACTGAAATATAATTTAAAAAAATATATATATATTAAAAGATGTGGTGGAACGCCCGTGTGTCTTCGCACCTGACTTACAAACTCAAACTCCTCGCACACGTTCCCGCACGTCCTGCTCTCCGCCTGCGTCTCGAAAGCGATCGGATCTGTACGCTGTTTTTCTTGGTACGTATTCTGTCCCGTGTCACAGATACGGAGGTGCTAATCCGTCCCATGTATGACACGGGAAGTTCAACATGCGTGCGTACACATCGGGCAGCTCAATGCCTCCGCTTTAGACGCTATATTAAATCAAACTTCTATTCGACTGGAATCCAGTGACCCGGTGGCACGATTTTAGTGAATCGGGCAATGATGAAGCCATTAAGGTGAGTTCACCCACGCTGCAGGGCCAGAACGGAGCAGTACATCAAGCAGGTTTTAGACTGGATAACTGTCAACTGTATGAGCATTCTGCCAGGTGAATGTGCAGCTTCCGCTATTGTCTTAGTCCAGTAAAGATGAACACTGCCCGATTAATGTTGAAGCTCATGAGAGCATCGCTGAGCTTCAATATGAATTTTCAGGAGCTGTATCTTAACATTGGGATGTTTGCCCGCTATGAGAGGAAACTGGAATTCCTCAAGAAATCCACACACGTGAAGGGTGCAACACTCAAAGCTACGCACATACACATTCAGGAATCTGTTATCATACTGCCATCTCATGGCCACGTACAACAAAAACACGAGTATCTGGGATGCTGTTGGCAAAACGTTTCAGCCAGAGTGTGTCGGAAAGGCCCTATCCCTCACTCGATTCTACGATGGGAATCACTCAAGCGCTCGCTGCGACATGGACGCTTTCAAACACCACCCAAAAACGTGTCGAACAGTGCACTCAGCCTTTGTGCATAACGCAGATAAAAAAAAAAACATCAGCAGGTCCACAGGAGTGCATCGTGGACCACTCGTCTTATAGATCGCCTTCAAATTAAACTCGAGCAAATGTGACCGACTCACAGGCAGCAGTGAGACAGACGTGGACGACTGTGGACCGGTTTCGTCCTTATTAAGACTCATCGGTACGCTAGAGTCACTAATGTTCACAGCTGCAAAGTTGCCCTCTGGGAACCATATATGTGGTGTTCCCACTACCACACTACGGGGCCCATTAGCGAGGCTAATACCGACAAAATTCTCACAACGTGAACGTGCCGTGCGTCGTGCCGTGCGTCACGAGCGCCACGGTCGAGACGGAACTCACAATGCAGTGGCCGTGCACGCAGGGGTTGGGGTTGCAGTTGCCACTGCTCGCCACGCAGCCGTTGGGGCCGTAGCCGTTCCCAAAGTAGCCGGGCGGACACGTGCAGATGGGCAGAGAGCTGCCTGTAACGGCATCGTGATGGGGAACAGCGCATGGGGAGGTGGGAGAGGTGGCGGAGGGGGTGGGGGTGACACGCGAGATGCAGGATCGAGGTGCGTCCAGTTGAAGCGTAGTTGGTTTAAGCCACGGAAGCGAGTAGCGCGCGCGTTCTCGATTGCGTGAGCGGTTCTGATCGGGGTCGACATTCGGTGCCCGATTAGCATGGCTGGTTACGTACGGTGCGAAAAAAGTTCAACATCCATCCATTAAAAAACGTGTTGTTATCACAGCGGTCATCGGCAGTGCAGGGGTCGCGTTCTCTATCCCCACGTCTCTGTCTCTCTAAACTTCCTCGCTCTCAGCCGGAAAAGCCCTCTGTACCAGCGTGGACGGCACCCCACGTGTTCACCTTCTGAAGCGATCGCTCGTCACCGTGGCGTGCGCGATGACCACCACCACCACCACGTGACTTTTCTTTCGTGTTGTGCGCGCTGCATTGAGCGCCACAGCGCGTGGATTTATAGCGTTTATTTGTGTTGCTGGTGACTTTGTGTGTTTCATATCGGTATCGCCTCCAGTGCTGTTGCTGCTGGCGGCAATAAAAGTTATTTAAAAGTCGAAGTCTCTGCGTGTGTTTGTCCCCCTCCCTTCACCCCCCCCCCTTTACAACTCCGCATCGTTGGCACTCGTCTCAATCGCCCACCGCTCGCGATCACGCCGAGCTGCGGCTGGCTGCAGTTGTGTATGAACCACGAGTGGCGCTCACAAGAAGCTGCATTACACCTCTCAACATCAAGGAGACAGCTTCACAACACCCCGCCCCCCCCCGTATTATGCTGAGTCACAATAAACAAAACATCGGAACCCCTCGGCACAGGCGTTACGCTGGCTCAAAGTGTCCGATGCTTTGTAAATCTTTAACCAACGTGGATCCCAACATTCTTCTCCCCGTGCAAGCGCAATGCAAATGACCGAACACCAAAATTAAAGTTGCGAATGCAAAAAAAAGACACTTGAAACCCTTTTTACCCGTTCTCATTTGGAATTCATGGCACGGTGTTCACCCTGGGTGGTGCGTGCGTGTCAGCGAGCGCTGATCGCGTTGTTGTCGGCATTAGCCAAGATCGCGTCGCTCCCGTCAATAATGTCGCGTTCTGTGCGGGCGCTTGAGAATGTTTTGAAAGCGCTCAGATGGCCCGTATCCAAGGGGCCTCTGTTTGTGTGTCTGTGTGTCCGTGTGTATCCGTGTGTCAGTGTCTGTGTGTCCGTGTGTGTGTGTGCGTGTTTGTCTGTCTGTGTTTGTGTGTCGTTCGAGTGTCCGTCTATGTGTGCGTTTTCTTATGTAACGAGGAAGAGTCGTGCACCGGGCTCGTAACATGAATTACACTATTTAAAATGAAAGTATGATTATTCTTAACGAGCACATTGCGCTATAAACCTGGTGACCTGACTTCAATTCTCGGCCTTGGCTAACATCGGTGGCGAGAGATATCCCAAGTGATAACTGAACCGATACTGGGCTCTCGCCACCGAGGCCGACTCGGCCTTAGTAATCACTGACGAGAGAGACAAAGGCAGTCGGCTTTACTGCTGAGCACACCAGCACCTCGTAGGCCGTGCAAGCCTTGACAAGCTTCTCGCTCGCAGCACTTGCCCCAACGTTTGATGGGGCTACATGAGGCGTCTTTGCCCTTGCGATGCATTCTGGACTTAATTTGAACACAGCGAATGGTCTACGAGCATTTCCCTCACTGCGGCACGCTCACCAGGGCAGACACGCGATGTTCTGTATTCGCCCTGAGAGCGTGCGACACCTGGGCATGAGCCCAGGTGACCCACGTGTTTAGCCAAACGTTGACTCATGCCAGCCACTAAGTGGGAACACGAGACACACATTCCATTTGCTAGACCAGGGGTCAGCAACAAAACTGACATGAGCCATTTTTTTGCGAATTCGGTGCGAGACCAATTTCAATCTAGATTTGAAGTTTTCGTGACTGCAGGGATCAAATTTCAATTTCCAGGTGATATTTTTGGACATTTCACGTAAACTGTGCTCTCATTAAGCAAATGGAACAAATGTAATGTGCTGCTACTTTTGTAACGTGAAGGCATACCAATTTATATTAAAATCCTTACACTTCTTCTTCTTCATTTGTGCGATTGTCAAATCAGTCGCTGGATTGGCTGCTTTTAAAAATGCGCAGCTCAGTTTTTTTTTCCAGTTACCCGCTCATCATCAATTCAGGATTTTTCAAAGTCCGCAGCAATAGCTGACATCAGACGGATTCATGAGTAACCCCATTGTGGTAAATCATCTCCCACGGCGCAGCTCATCACCAGCGAGCAAACATTTTGGGGGGGTCGTAAAATGCAAAGCCATTTTGATGGAAACTCCTGCACACCCCCCCCCACCCCCTCGCAACTCCCGCCACGGTGTCTACGATTCTGCCACCAACCTGCTCATGATAAATTGAGACAAAGATCGCAGCAATGTCTCCGCTGGGCTCTTGGCTGCATAGGTGCGCAATTTTTTTCGTCGTCGGCGTTTTTTTTTCAAGCTGATTTATACACACGCGGCTACCTATTGATGCGCTGCTGACTCAAGCGACACTCTGCTGAATGGGAGTCACACTGACCTGGCAGCGGTGACCGGCTGATCCTGACGAAATCCAAATTCGCTTATCGGTACGTCCGGGGAACAGATAATGCGCTCTTAAGTGCAACGCGTGCCACTCGCGAGCACTTTAATGAGAGCCGCTTTTTTTTGTTAATCACCGGACTTTGGTGGAATGAATCGGGCATCGATCCCTCGATTGGCGTCGACTCTTTAAGCCCGCGAGAACTGCGTCAAATTGCATGCGGAAGAATCAATGCGTTGGTTAGTCGTACGCGTTGTGCTTAATGGGTTCACGTCATCCCCGCGGCCGATCGATTCCAGAACGAAATCGAAAAAAAAACGCGAATCTGAATCAAGACAATCAATGGCACTCCGGAGGGCGAGATGATCCGCCAACAGCTGCACGGAAGGCGCCAGATCACGGGTGCAAACCATCGCACGTGGCTCAAAGTGCACTTCAGAATCCTGCGTTATTTAAAAAAAAAATGGCCTTTGCAGCTCAATCACGTGTGCTTTTGGCTTAATTTCGGTGCCAGTGCACGCCTGCGTACGCTTCAGAATGTAGGGTCTCCCGCGGCCGCTTGTAATTATCGTGTGTTTCTCGGGCCATCTTCAGGCGCCGGCGAGTCGCGTGCGGGCGAGCGCGGCTCACCTGGCACGGCGGTGCAGGTGGCGAGCGAGTAGCAGCCGCCGTTGTTGATGGAGCACACCTCCACGGCCGTGCACGTTCGCCCGTCGCCCTCGTAGCCTGCGCCCCCACGAGAGCGCGCACACACGCGCACACAAAGATAAAAAAAAAGATCCCCCGTGTAGCCTTTAACAGACTGTAGGGGCAAGTGCTGTTAGCGAGCACCTATGAAGGCCGGAACGGTACACGAGGGGGTGGGTGGCCAGCACCACGCCCGACCGCCTTTGTCTCCCTAGTGGCAATGTTTACACACCGCACCAGGTACTCATTTGAGGCTGAGTCGACCTAGGGGAGGCCCGGGACCGGTTCAGATAATCGTCACTGGTGTTGGCCGTGAGCGGGAATCGAACCCGGGTCGCCAGGTTCATAGCGCAGCGCGCTAACCGCTACACTACCGCTACACTATCACACACACACGCACGCACACGCACACACACGCACGCACACGCACGCGCACACACGCACGCGCACACACGCGGCCTCTCCGTCGCGTCGTGCCGCACGCACCCCGAGGAACCGCTGCCCCCAGCTGTCTTGCGCTCCCGTTGCCACCGTTTAAATCGTCGTAATTAAGTATCGATTGACGCGGCGTGGCTTTGCGTGCGCGAGCGGTGGGTTTCGGCAACTCGGTTTGAATCCCTCGCCACGGCTAGCACCGGTTGCACCTCCTCTAAGTTGACTCAGCCTCCAATGATAATTGGGCAAGGTGTGCAAATAGACGCACTTGGGACACAAAGGCAGCCGGGCGCTGTTTGCGGCCACGCCAATTCTTGCGTATTATGCCACACTCAATACGTACAATACTCGGCGATGGCACTTTTCGCCAGCGGTTCGCGAGGCTCTTTGGGGATTGTGTGTGTGCGTGTGTGTTGCCGCTGTGGTGTGTACCTACCGGAGGGGCAGGGCCCACAGTGGTACGAGCCCATGGTGTTGAGACACTGCACGGGTGGCACCGTGGAGCACCCCCCGTTCCCCGTCGCGCACTCATTCACATCCGTGCAGCTGTAGCCGTTCCCCTGCCAGCCTGCATCCTCGCACCAAGAGGCAAATCACCGTCACGTTTAAAACAAATCAACATTCATACCAACGATGGCACCCTAACGACTTAAAAAAAAAAAAATCGTTCTCATTTTTATTCCAATCGTGCCGTGGGTGTCGTGTGATGAGATGGAGAGTCCCATTGGGAAGGATCGCAGAGCAGCACCGCGCTCACTGCCGCGGCGGTGAGATGTTAACTACCTCGCCCGGTATACAGGAGGTCGTGGGTTTGATCTCAACCCTAACGCCTGCTGCTGTGTATTTGGAGTTTGCATGTTCTCCCCGTGGTCGCGTGGATTTTTTCGCGGGTTCTCCGGTTTTTCCCCTCCACGTTTAGAATCAACGCGCGTTTGGAGTATTTGGACGCTATAAATGTCCACGAAAATAAGCTCTATAGCTCAGTGGGCCTTACCTGGTAAAATAAACAAAAGGTTTAGTTTAGCTTCAGTGCGAAGGAAATATCTCGGAATAACGTGAGAACCAAATGTTCCTTACCTCTCATCAACACAAGAGGGGGCTCACTGTGCCACTGGGCCTGCTGCAATTCATTGCTAAATGACTGTTTCGTGTAAGCTGTTGGGATGTGTCGGGATGTACTTTTGTATGAAAGTCAACATATATACATGTTTTTACTTAGTAAACATATATAGCGCTGTGTGAATGACAGTACTCCGTCTCATCACAATGTAGGCCGAAATTTTTAAGAACGCTGGCGGTGTTGATGAATGACGTTGCTATAATTGTAACTTTCCCCTTGCAAAATTAATGAATTAAGCACTTCCTTTGCAACCATTAAGTAGTAACCTACTTAGATTTGTCATCATTATAGTTTAATACTGTAACGCATTGGATTGTCCTACGAGATACGGTGGGGAGTGGTAGGTAGGGTAGCGTGTAGCTGTTAGTGCTATCCTGCGCTACGAACCCGGCGACCCGGGTTCGATTCCCATTCACGGACTACACCAGCTACGATTGTTCCTAACCGGTACCTGGGCCTCCCCTACGTCGACTCAGCCTCAAATGAGTACCCGGTGCGGTGTTAACATCGCCACTGGGGAGACAAAGGCGGTCGGGCGTGGTGCTGGCCACCCACCCCCACGTGTGCTTCACGGCTCCTCGGATTACTCCAGTCTAAATAAGGATTCTGATAGGTGCTACAAGTATAAGAATAGGCAATAAAGCAGGTGTCAAGATATCTTTGTGCTGTTCGCTTATTTGGCGTCCTCTGATCTAACACTGTCTGAGACGAGGCTCTAAAGAAAGCTGTCTCGGGTGTGGATCAATCAGTTTCAAAGACGATGCATCATCACATACTACTGGAGCATGTTATGTTCGCATGTTCATCACAAACAAAGGTGGTTAATGCAGATATGATTCCTTGCAAAAAGTTTCTGTTTGGTGTTTTAACATTTTAACATAACTGTTTTATTGCCAGAAAGGGATGCAACCTATTCTTAGTTTTGATACTGGCAAGAGAGGTCCCATGATGGTGCTACAGTACTCGCTAATAGTGCCCCAACAGTCTCTTAAGGCTATACGGAGTGGGGGGGGGGTCCTTGTCTGTGTGTGCGTCAGGGGGAGCGGTGGTGTAGCGGTTAGCACTACGCTGCGCTACGAACCTGGCCACCCGGGTTCGATTCCCTCTCACGGCCAACACCAGGAACGATTATCTAAACCGGTTCTGAGCCTCCCCTAGGTCGACTCAGCCTCAAATAATTATCCGGTGCGTGTGTAAACATCGCCACTGGGGAGACAAAAGCGGTCGGGCGTGGTGTTGGCCACCCACCCCCTCGTGTACCGTTCCGGCCTTCATAGGTGCTCGCTAACAGCACTTGTCCCTACAGTCTGTTAAGGCTATACGGGGGGATCTTTATCTGTGTGTGTGTCAGGACCTGAACGTGCACCTAGCCTGGCACAAGCGCCGAGGCGACGTCACCGCCACTTAGTGGGCGAACGGCGGTTGTTGTTGTTGGTGTGTTGTTGTTGGTGTGTTGTTGTTGTTGGTGTGTTGTTGTTGTTGGTGTGTGTGTGTCGTTGTTGTTGGTGTGTTGTTGTTGGTGTGTTGTTGTTGGTGTGTTGTTGTTGGTGTGTTGTTGTTGTTGTTGGTGTGTTGTTGTTGTTGGTGTGTTGTTGTTGTTGTTGGTGTGTGTGTGTCGTTGTTGTTGGTGTGTGTGCGCGCGCGCCAGGGTTTGTCGCACACCGCTGGGGCAGGCCCCGCAGTAGAAGGAGCCCACGGTGTTGAAGCAGCTGACGGGAGGGTTGGAGGAGCAGGGCGGGATGGGCTGCGCACACTCGTCCAGGTCGGCGCTGCACGCGGGGCCCCCCCCCGCGCCGGGCTGCGTGTAGCCGCTCTCGCAGATGCACTCGAACCGGGGCTGGAGGGAGGGGGGGGTCGCCAGGGGTTGGTGGGACCGGTGAGGGACGGGGGGGGGGGGTACGAGGCGCGTGGACAGAGCCGGAATGGTTTGGGGGGCGGGGCGGGGCGGGGCATGTCCGGCCTTTCCGCGTGTGCTCGCTCACAGCACTTGCCCTAAACAGTCTGTTAAGGCTAGACGGGGGATCTTTGTCTGTGTACAGTCAGCGAGCTGCGCGAGGGACCTGGCGACCCGAGGTGGGTTCCCCGCTCACGGCCGACGCCAGCGACGAATATTCGAACCGTTACCTGGGCCTCCCCTAGGTCAACTCAGCCTCAAAATGAGTACCCGGTGCGGTGTGTAGTAAACAACGCCACTGGGGAAACAAAGGCGGTCGGGCGTGGTGCTGGCCACCCACCCCCTCGTGCGCCGTGCCGGCTTTTATAGGCGCTCTCTAACAGCACTTGCCCCTACAGTCAGTTACAGGCTACACGGGGGGATCTTTGTCTGTGTGCGCAAGTAAGTCTGTGCGTGTGTGAGTCTCTGTGTGTGTGAGTCTGAGTCTCTGTGTGTGTCCGTGTGGCTACCTCGTTGGGGTTGATCCTGACGCCATCTACACACACGCCGTGCACACACAGCGCCTGCGAGCCGGCCTGGCAGTCGTCGAACTTGGTGACGCAGTGAGGACCCGTGAACTCGGGCGTGCAGGTACAGCTGCGGTGAGGGTTCCAGGTGAGGGTGAGTGGAGAGCAAGGGGGGGTGGGGTGAGTGTAGAGCAGGTTTAGGTTTGAATGCATACCACGAAGAGCAGAACAATGGGTAGTAGGTGTTACCTACCGACTAGTGACAGGGGTTATTCTTAATCAGAATAGAAATATTTTTTTCGAGAATCGGAATATTTGTTTTTACTGGAGCAATCCGATCAGCGATGAAGCTCTCTTTTTGTCAGATGTCCAGTCGGTCACAGATGTCCAGCAGGTCTCAGCATGGCGTTTGCTTATGTGCTTAAGCAACTCATAATCACCTACCATATCAAACATTCAAAGGGCACTCCCAGTGGCAGCTGACCCCTGTGTGGCACAAGGTGACTCAGCACTGGCCCGCAAGTTGACATCAGTTTGCCAGTAGTTTGGTGAAGATTTATATGCGTAATCCCAATCCATTTATTTTCGGTTACATTTTGGAACCTGATCAATTTGGACCACCACGCCGTTACGCAATGGCTCACGGGTTTCAAATCACGTCAAGGGATGTCTAACATCCTCGATTAAGCGGATTGTGGTGAGCACACCCGCAGTATTAACCAGCGCGTCCTGCCGGATTCGAACCGGCGAACGTCTGCGACAAACGGCATCACCCCAATTGCACTGCAATCGTACCACGCATCTCTCTGCACTGCCATCCATTCGTCTGCCTCGGTTTGGAGGAGATACGAGGCCCCGGAGAGGTTTTGAGGCACGGATTATAATCGAGTGGCGTGAGACATCACCTGTAGGTCCCGGGGGTGTTGTGACAGGTGCCTCCGTTCTGACACCCCATGGGTGTGCCGGTGTAGATCTGACACTCGTTCACGTCCTCATTGCACCGCGTGCCCTGCGGCGTGAACGCAATTGGTAAGCGCCTTCACAGCCTGGCTATACCATCGCATGTATGCATGTATGTATTCGATGTACGTTAAACTTATTTCGCACCGTATGTAGCCAACCGTGCTCATCGGAGGTGCGGGGAAAGGACGACAAACTAGACACGGAAAGCGGTTCTAAAAGAGATGACATTTCTATCTGGATTTAAAAGTGCGTAGCTCCAGTGGTTTCTCTAATATCGGAAGGAAGAGCGTTCCAGACGGCCGCAGAAACGCATCGCAGGAAGTGCTGTCGGTCGTTCGTGAGAAGTTCTCTGGCTGGAATGTAAACCTGACAGCATGGTTCGTGGCAGAGCCAGAAGCATCGCCGTCATTATTAGCACTTTTGTCGTTTTTGAGAAAATATCTTCTTCCTTTCTAATAAACAAGTCTCCCTTGAAAATGGAAGAAAAGTGCGACTGAGCCACCACTTACAACGATGTTAATTATTCCATTTCAAGTGTAACGCAGTTCCTGTTTTTATTATTAATAATGAATTAAATCGTCTCCACGCTCTCTATGCAACTTACGTGTATAATACACACCTTTATAAAGTCTCTCAACTAAGTTGAGCAATGGGTTATTTCTCATATCGATTGGTGGCCGTAAGCCAATTGTGGTAATTCCACATTAATATGGCAGGGCCCAATAGACTGTCTAGAAAACAACCACTATTGACATTCCACCAATTGATATTAATTTTATACAGGCAGTGTCGACTCCTGACTCGCATTAGAACTTGTTTACTTATAAGTAAAGCGCTGTACCCAAGTTCCACCAGCCCTAACACAATCACATACACGCGTGTAACATGAAACGTTTGGCGCAACGGATTGTGGCTCATTAAAAAAAACTAAAATCCGCTGGGCTGTCAGGTGACCAGCAGATGGCACTGCAGCAAGACGGGTTCATGAACCCATATGTGCGGACCTTTGTGTGTAATCCTCTCGTACGCATGGTGGGGGTTTCCCACATACTCTCATTTTGAATCTACCAGGAAGCCACTCTTTAAAAAACACGAAGCCCAAACAGTCGCAATGCAGGACCTTCCTGATAGAGAGTGTGGATTGACTAAAAAGGCCATCATCATTGTTACTCATAAATCACACAGTATCGCTGTATCGCGTGCTCTCGATAGCCAAGCGAGCACTTCACGATCCCACCTTCCAGTTGCTGGGGCACACGCAGTAGAAGGACTTGTACAGGTTGATGCAGTGCGCCCCGTTCGCGCAGGGGCTGGAGCCGCACGCCGTGAGGCCCACGTCCTGCGGGGTTGAGTGGGGCGCGTGGGGCACAGCGCAGGGTGAGGGACTCGTGGCACGAGCGAGTAGCCCATGGGCCAGAGCGGATATTGGGCAATCGTCGTAGAGGATTCGTTTGTGCGGATAATATGAGCGAATCGCTTGATGACCCCAAATAAATTAAAACGGTTAACACGTAATAATTCACCGTTAATGGCCACATCAAAGGCATTGGGATGATAACAACTAGGTCACCTATTCCGGTACTGACGAAGTGAAATACTTGGTCTGGGCTCATGAAGCAGAGTAGCATCAGTTAAACTCTAACAACATTCTGCAATTGGCAGCCAGGGTGGATCACCCACGTCCCAGTTCTCCGACGAGCGAAGGACTTAACTCTCTCACCTGCTCAATCGTGGTCACCTTGCCATTCAGGGTTTCTATCTGTGGATTAAAGGCAGAGAGGAGAAGGTTGCTGCTGGACACGACCACATTTGCCAATGTGATTTGTAACTTTGATTCTTACCCGTGAATCAATAGCTCCATTTTAACGCGTTCTGTTTTACGTGTGATCTGGGACTGTTTTTGTTGTTGATTTGCTGCCTTTCCCAAGCCTGCATTTAGTGTTGAGAAATCTACATGAATTGATGTAATTATGCAATGGGAACTTTTAAAATAATGTACAGTATGTTCATTGTATTCATTCATAGTGATTTGCTCACTTTTCCTATATTTTGCACTCGTAGAGGTTTTTTGGTAATGTTTGTTTAAAATTTCTGACCCGCCCCTATTACACTATCATCGGATTTATCCAGGATAAATCAAAATTCTGATTCTGTTGTGTTATTTGTATGTCTTTTTTGTGTATCTTTCAGTTGTGTTCACCTTGATATGGATGCGTTTGGTTCGATCAATGGGCAAATGTGTATTCAGTCCAATGTATTATTTAACACGTAGGCTTTCGCGACCAATATCATCAATAATACAGGGGTTTTTTTTGGGTTAGATCGCGTAAATATATAAATGTGTCGTTAAACCCGTCACCACCCGACACAGCCAATCAGAACATGCCAATATGAATACTAGCACAGCACACCGGTGTGTTGGAGAGCAAAGCCACAGCATTTACAATCAGAGTGCAATCTGGTACTCAGATTGCAAATGTTCTGTTTACGTGACGAACCTTACTTATTGGCTGCGTGGTGTCGTGGCGGGTTTAACGGCACTTTGTATATATACGCGATCTCACCCAAAGAAAACTGATTATCAATTCATTATTGTTTAAATACGATACTTTAATATTTCCTGCTGTCAGATAAACACGTATTTTTCAATTCTGCTGACGTCATACGTGTCACAATAATTGAGGATCAATCTCATCGTGAATTTGGTATTATTTTATTGAAAAATAAAGATGATTACAACTCATAACATTCAAATATTATTAAACGTAACCAAATACAATCGTATACACACAGAGATTGTGTGGCACTCCTATTTACAGCTCTGAGCCAGTGAAGGAAATTCCACACTCCCTATGGTGTGTATGCATCTATCCATAAGGTAATCACTGTTGACTTTCCACATGTTGGTGATAACATTTTTTTGTTTACCAATTCATCAGGGACGAAGGTCTAAGTTGACCCCCAAATCGAGATTAAGATGTGAACTCCAATTTAAATTCAAGCGTCGTGAGCGCTCCGTCGCCCAGGTCGGATGTGAGCGAATACACCGGGGCAACGTGATCGCTGTTAATGGTTGACGTGTGTGCCACGTGCTCCGTCGGTGGTCACGTGTGGGCGCGTGGCACTCTCTCTCTCTCTCACTCACCTTGACGTCCAGCTGGTGGAGCGCTGCCGTCACATTAACGCCCGTCGCTCCGGCCTTCAGGTCGACGATGTCTTTCTGGTTGGCCCGCACCTGCCAGAACGGGCGGCAAGAGTGGGGAGATGCGTCACTGAAGGCGCCACGGTGGTGAGATGTTAACTGCCTCGCCTATATACAGGAGGTCGTACGTTCAATGCCAACCCTGGCGCTTGCTGTATATTTGGAGTTTGCGTGGTCACGTGGATTTTTCTCCGGGCACTTCCCGTTTTTCCCTCCACACTAAGAATCGAGGTGCTTTTAGAGTACTTGGCTGCTCTAAATGGCCACGTGACAAGCCACTTCGTTGAGCTATCATTTCTGTATGATACTACACTTCGTTGAGCTATCATTCGTGGCCAGGTCGCTTCTGTGAAAAAAGATATATAGCTCAGTGGGCGTTATTACCTGGTAAAATAATAATAATAATAATAAAAAGGTTTTAGTTTTGTTTAGTGTGTCCTATTGCGGCTGCTTTAAAGTAAACATTCAATCGAGATATCATTCTCTCTTGCTGCCTGTATTTGCATGGTCAGCGAGACGGGATATTCAGAGGGCATACGGGGTCCCCGTGGTGTTCGTCGTGAGCTTTCATCTAAAACATCTGGTGAGCCTGAAATTAAATGTTTAACATGCTCACCCTCTGCTGATGAGACTCCGAGAGTCAAAACCCGCCCATGATGAAATATCTGAAAATATTGAGCTCAAAAGCTATCGGGTCCTTAGGCCGATGGACTGAATTTGTATTTTATTTCATACACGCTGGAACAGATGCTCGTCTGTTTATTTACTATGTACACAGTATAGGTGTACAATATATATTCCATGTGCCAACATAGTACACACATACATTTATTTGTAACACAATTGTCAATGTATATGTGATTACGGGATGCAACGTGGGTTTAAGGCAGCTGTCCCACCACCGTGGTTTGAATCTCAGTTCAATCAGGACCGGCTCCGATCTGCGTAGCGCGCGGATTATAACATCGATGACGACTGGCATGACAAAAAAAAAAGCTCGTTGAACATGAAGCTCATTATTTCCCCATGGCTTCGCGACGTCTACTGGCTTCTCGGAGTCGCTGCGCATTACGCCTACACGGCGCACGGCTGATGAAACCTCACTCTGGTTTGCGTTGCACGCGACCTCTTCAGCACACGGGATGTGCACGGAGCAGAGCACGCGCGACGCGCCCCGATCTTGTCAAATCTCCGAAGCCACGCGGGGGATCACCCTGCATGGTGCTCGGCTGGGCGACCACCACGCACGTTCAGGTTGCCATAGGGGCTACGGGTATACGTGGTCGGCGGCAGTGGGCAGTGCAGAAGCATCCATTGCTGTACCGTACTTCGATGCTCTGGCATCTGCACCCCCTACCTTCACCAACCTGCACTGACCAACGTAATGGTCCTTCCCCCCCGCGCCTCCGATTAGCACGGTTGGCTACGTACGGCGTGAAAGAAGTTCCGCATACGTGCAAACAACCGCCGACACTATGTCGTTGGGCCCTCATCCAGCAGTGTATTGACAAGCGGCTGAGGGCAAGGGCCCCAAAAAACCCTGCTCTCTTCCCCACCGCTGAGCCCAGTCCGTGACCCCAGTCGCGTCGTCACCTGTGTCAGAGACTCGGAGAGGCTGATATCCCCGATCCGCACTTCCCCTCCGGTCCCCGTACGGAACTCGATGGCTTTGCCATTGCCCGTGTGGAACACGAGCTGTCCACTCTCCGTCGAGACGCGAGGCCTACGCATTGCACGTTCATCATCGTCAGCATCGTCATCATCATCACTGGCATCACCCTACAACACCGTCAGAAGCAATATAAGCAGCAGGTTTTATCAGCATCAGCCGGATCAGCATTGCGTCATCTACACCAGAATTTTTATCATCGTCATCATCAGCAGTAACAACAGAAGCTGCATCCCCAACATCTTCATTATCATATGTACCACTATTATCTGCATTATCACAATCATCACCTTCAAGACCACTATTTTCATTCACACGGACATAATTTAAACCACTGCCACTGGAATTCATGTTAATTTCTGGCATCACCAGTCCTAATATTATCATCATCATGACCATTGACATTTACACAACTATCATCAAAATTAGCATGATCATCACTAGCATCACAACCATCATCAATGGTATCACCACCATCACCACCATCTCTAACGTAATCATCAATTTCATCACTAGCACCATGTTGATTGCCACCATCAATATTATGCCGTAATTATATCCACGATCAGCACCATCAGCAATGTTATTACTGCCATCATTGCCACCGTTATAATCATCATCATCAATATCAACTCCATAATGATGACGATTATTCCAGGTTCATCGTCAAATGCACAATTTTCATGTCCACCATCAACAGCGGACATCATCGCCAGCATTACAACCTCCATCACTGCAGTTATCACTTCTATCCTTATTTCCGCTGTCATCGTCATTTTCACTGCTGTAGCCATCACTGTGACTCCTATCATGATCATTGGCGTAGTTGATGTTTGTTTAAATACCGTGTACAATGCATCTGTTGCCATTAGGGCTATCAACTGATCCTGACATTGACCTATTAACCCGTTCCAGTGTAGCTAAGACCTGTTGTTCTTATCCGCGCAGACTACGGTATTGCGATTAATAATTTATTTGTTTTAGTTTGCAAACGTGTTTTTTGCTTATTCTGCCGACCAGAATGTTTTTACCCAATTATTTTCACTAGGTACTGCTCCTGGATATCCTTGATAAATCATGATACGGGCTCTCCTTGATCCACCAGAAGTCGATAACACAACAATATACAACCCGACAAAAACACGAAATGTGTGAAAAGAAATTCTAGAATGTAGAAATAAAACGCAAGACCGCAAAGATACTGTCTCCCTGCTCCAGTAAGACGTCAGGAGGCGTTCACCTGCATCTGCCACTGAGCCAGCGAGGATATTTCTATCTACGTGACTTTACCGAAAGCCACGTAGAATATGAGAATTCCACATTCCCATGGCGAAGGACAACGATGACTTGATTTCCCACAATGCAGTGCCTGTTTTATCGATATCAGAAAGGTAACTCACATTTGTTCGATTCTGAGTTAAGTGCTCTGACTTATCTTCTTTGGTTCTTTCGTGAGAATTTTATTGTGTTATTTTATTTTATCAATTTATTATTTTATTCTCATTCTACGTGACTTTACCGAAAGAACCAAAGAAGATGAATCCTTGCAGTCACGAAAGCTTTAAATCGAAATGCTCTGACTTAGTTAAGAAGCAAATGAATCCTTCTTATCAGCTACTTTCACTTCAGGCATGTAACGTTGGATTGTTGCATCGACTACATTCGAGTCTTACACTATCATGGTACATGCAAATAATTGAGTATTCACGAATCTCTTTTTTTCAAGTGATGTAAATTATTAATGACATGCTGATGTTCACTGAGGACAATCAAACAAATTGGACAACGGAAGCAGTACGATCAAACAGAGCAAACGAGGCAAGCGGCTCATCGAGACAAGAATATCCTGAATCTAATAATGTCAAAATAATATAATGTCAAAAGAAATATTAAAATTCTTCGAGTCCGCTGTGTCGGGGATGAATCATGTCACGGCTAATGCATTGCACAGGACACACGAACGTTCACAGTTCATACATCACAGCACAATCGAATACAATTTAGATTCATAGGCGTTCAAAATGCGCCTGCATCTCAAGACGATTGGCACGTAGGTTTGAGGAAGTGTTGCTTTATGATAGGAAATCCTAGAGGGCATATTCGACAGTCGAGATAGCAAAATATGCAACGTACGAGGCGAAAGAAGTTCAACATACAAAGAATTTAGAGACTGGACGTCAAGAGAGGGAGAGTCTCAGCAGCGCAGAGGGCCACAGAGAGAGAGAGAGAGCCTCCAGGCGGCGCAGCGGTAGGAACGACAGCGCAAGTACTGAGCACGTTTATCTCCCCTCCACCCCCCGTTGTCCCATCAGCTGTTGTCCTCACTGGTCGCTGGAGATGTCTCTCCTCTGCCGACTCTTCTCTGCCGAGGTGGTCCCTTGAGCCAGGGCCGCGCACAGCAGTAGGAGGACGCACATAGAGGCCCGGAGCCCCACGGGGCCGCCACAGCCTTCTGCTCTCGCCATAGTGTGCAACGGCAGGGCAGGTTTCCAATCACGGGCTATTTATTAGATTTTGGTAGAAGCAACCTTTGTATCCCACCTTGTTCATACCCCCCCCCACCATCCCTGCCAGCGCCCCGAGTTCAACCCCCCTAGCAAAGTATAATGGTTGAGTTAAACATAAGGAGGGGAGAGGGTTATCAATTCGTTTCTGTCTTCCCCCACCCACATCCCCGCTCCACCCCGACTTCACAAGGGCTTTGGTGGTCTCTCGTTTCTATCCTGTCGCCGCCGCCTTCACCAACTCCGCTGACTCGGTAGCGCTAAAGGTCACGGGGGTGAGCAAGGTGGCACGTGTCCCACGTTCTGGCACGCGCCGGGCGGGCTCTTTTCTGTAATCTCCTTTTAATATTCCACCACGTTGCTAACCACTTTTACGGCCCTTAAAAGAAGACACCGGTCACGTACACACATCATGCGCCATGGGCGCAATTTATCCCCCATTTTGGGCCGTCGCTCTTCTTGTTTTACGACGCTAGAGTTACGTGGCAGATAGGGAAATTAAATATTGTTGAGCACATTGCGGGCAATAATTTACAATGGGATGTGCGATTAACGGAGGCAGCCCGTGGCCGGGAACCTTTGACACCAGCGACTGTGTGAACTCTCTGCGGCTCGCTCTTCAAGACTAAAGCCCTGAATGCCACGCACAAGCCTGGACTTTAAAAGAACCAAATGCATTAGGCTCAAGCCGATCACGTTAAACTCCTCTGTAAAATATTACTGGAGTCTCAACTGGATTGAATATCAGTCGTAGCTGTGTGCGTGTCTGCTGTGAGGAGCGGTGGCAGAGTGGTTAGCGCGCTGCTCTACGAACGTAAGAGCCAGAGGTCGTTTCTCAGGGCCTACATCAGTGACGATTACTTATCTGAACCGACCTTGGATCCACCTAGGTTGACTCAGCCTCCAATGAGTATCTGGTGCGTTGTATAAACCTCAACGCTGGGGAGACAAAGGCGGTTGTGTGTGGTTCTGGCCACCCACCCCCTCGTGTGCCATTCCTGCCTTCATGTGTGCTCGCTAATAGCACTGCCCCTATAGTCTGTTGAAGGTTATACGGAGAACTTTGTTGTACAAGTATCACTGGGCGCTGTCCGTGGTCCTGACTACGATGAGTAACATTGTTCTCATTGTAGCTCTTTCATTAAACATTAAAAGAGTTTGTTTTGTATACCAACAGTGACACTTTACAGTCCTCGGTCAACCCACTGCTGGATGAATGTTCTCGAATAAGTGTCGTTTATGAGAATAAAATAAACACGTCATTTAGAAAGTATGCAGGACAGATACAAACGCGTATGTCCTTCCAAAAAAGGTATCATATACTCGAACAGGATTAATGAATATGAATTAATGCGTTGAGGACGCACCCAAGAGGTTTGACGTTTAAATAAGCCACACGTGATCCATAGCGTCTTACTATATAGACAGTCATGATAAGTAGGCCACTGTAAATTTTTTATATTATTCTCAACATTCACTGAAGCTAGTAGAGGCAAAAATTACGTTTTGGAAAATGGAAGAGTTACTCATGAACATAACGATTTTGGTTTAAATAAGTTGAGTTTTTTTTAATCTTCGTAATTGAAACGTAATGTATGCAGTTAAATGTATTGAACTTTTAAACCCAAGGAGTGTGTTGGCTTGACAATGGTATAGATGCATACGATGACGATTCTTAGAGCAGAATCCTATTAATAGACCACTATAAGGCAGACAATGATAGGCCTTAGCATAATTTAGAGTTTTAGACCCCCTCCCCCCCCCCCCGTTTAACATGTTTATTTATTTATTTTATAAATATAACAATCTTCTATTGGTCATATCCACAATACTTAGCCAAGTTTATGCGCATGCTCACGGATAAAATCTACAACACAAATAACTCTGATCTTGGAGCTACACACCCAAGCGCTGTCTCCCAGGTTGCCAGTCACAAGTTTGAAGCTGATAATAGGTTTTCCCCTTTTATGTATCTGGCAACAAAACAGGTGTTATGATTTAAAACACCAAACTGAAACCTTTTATAAGGCATAATGTCTGCATTAACCACAATGCTTTTAGTCGGAAAGGAGGCAAAAACAAACTCTGATAATATATGCATTGCCCTGCATATATTAGGACTCACTTGCCAACAATAGCTAGTTGTAATAATTAAAAGCATGTTTTTGTTTAAAAACAATGTACAAGACAATATACATAAAATCTCAATTGGTATATGAACAGATGAAACAATGTACCTGGTTATACATTTAAACTTCCGCTAATTGTTGATTTTTTTTTAAAAATCACTCTTAATTGATGGCAACGTTCACACTTCGTGAGTTAAACCGGAGAGGGTCTGCTTTGTTGGCAGGCAGTTATCAACTCTCCATCACAGCGCTTGCTCACTACATTTTATCGTAATTAATGGGCCCACGCATTTGAATGCCCCATGCGTTCAGAACAAAATACGTAACACCCAGCCAACGGACTTCTCTCCCTTTGTGTGTTGGAGGTGGCCAGGATGGGGGTTGCAGTGAGTCGATTAGACTTCAAATTCAGGTCACGGGGTTCGGGTTGTTATGTTCAGTTATAGATTAGCGTAGGTGCTTAGAGTTAGTAGGCCCATTTCTGCTTTAACACATGGTGGTTATGGTGGAGCTATATATATGTATTTTAAAAAACCTTAAAGTCGATTCCCAGTAATGGTTCCATCAGTGGCACGTGTGTGACACCTAAACCGAACAGACCCACATTCGCATACCACAGTGACCAGTGTGGTGAGGTATGGTCAAACAACCCCGATGACTGACTTGAGATACAGAGGTCCTCGTCCGGTAGTGGGAAGACAAAGGGCTGTAGATTACACGATGTGCTGTAATTGACACTACACGTATTGTAATGACACTGCACGTATTGTAATTGACACCAGTATACGTAGACACAAAGCGAAATGCAATGATTCACTATGTAACACAATTTTTGTTCCTGGGTACTAAAATGTTATGTTTTTAATTGCGTATGCCTATAGAGTATAGAAAATGGCTATTATTCCCCACAAACTTTGCTTTTGTGACGAGGACTTTATGTGAACGAAAGACACAATGCACACGTTTTCTCACTGAAAATAGGTAATTTTAAAAATATCAATGTCCTGGTCACAAACGCAAAGTTTGTCGGGAATAATAGCCATTTTCTGTACTTTTTAGGGTTAAGCAATTAGGAAATAACACTTATTACCCAGGAACAAAAAAATGGTTCCAGAGTGTTATTGGGTTAATTATTCCTTAAACCTAGGTGAGAGCCCAAATCAACTAACATGGGTTATTTTTTTCCCCCAAAGACAGCCCTGGGTCGGAAGTAAGGCCAGTGAGGTCATCATCAGCCATGGTCCATCCACAGCTGGATGAAGGCCTCAGTGCGCCATGTCCATACCTGTCAACCCCTTATCAGTGCCCTATCTTCTTACAGGCCAACTCGGACCTTATTGGTCACCCCGTGCCCCTTATAAATCTCAACGTTCGTCCTACAAAGTCCCATCACAAGGGACAAACACAAACCAATAGACAAAAAACTATATTTTGCCCGTATTGAAACGGTTGTACGCCGTATGGACCTAAAAACTAATTTTACCTGTACAGGAACACGTGCTAAAGCGTATGGATTGACAGCGTTGCCTGTCAAGCGTAGGGGTGGTATGGCCGAACTGTCGTCATTCCGCCGGGTCTCACGGTCCCGCGATCCGACCATTCTAAAACAGCACCGTGACGATACAATCGCTCCATCTCCACGGCGGTTCCTCCTTTCCTGTGTTCTCCTTTCACCAGTCTGCCTATTGATTACTCTTCGTTACAGTCAATACGATGTCCCTAGCATGCCTTTGTTCTGCGATCTAAGTGCCAGTTTCTGTCTCTCAGTAGAACTCCGAGCATGCATCACTTTCGCGATTATTTGTGTACTTTCCA